AGAAACTTCCTCTTGCTCTGCGGTGACATTCTTCCTTCATTTAAATTCCTACCCTTCCCACTCCTTGTGGGGACAGAGATTGTCTGGTGTTTGATTTTGGTGGAAATGTGTGTTTTTCAGTTAGTTCTGGTAGTGTGTCACATTCTCACATTGCCATCCTTCTGGGTTATCCTCCTTTGTCTTTTCTCTGGGCAGACCTTTTCTGTCTGTCCTACCTGGGGTAGTTCATTGGCCATATGGGGGCCAGAGGGTGGGGAGGGGTCTGCGGGACAGCTGGGCAAGACTGTGTTGCAAATGGAAAGCCCACTGACTGAGGAACTTTTATATTTTCCTGTTCACCTTAAAAACAAAACAACACTTTGAAACACCACGGTTATCTCTTGGCATTTGAATGTGGTATTATCACGAGTCTGTTTGAAATCGCAGGACTTATATGGTGTCTGCTGCCTTCTTATACCACAGAGATGAGAGGGTGGAGAGCAATGGGAGCTTGTCAGCTGTATTGAAAAGATAAGTTATTTTCCTTTGGGGTATGGCTGGGGCTTTTACTGATCACCTGTCTTGTATTTGCATAATGCCTTTATCCAGAAAATAAAAAAGTTTGTATGGATTTTGAATGTAAGCTTATAAATATTCCTTTAGGAGAAACTGGGGAGATAATTTTATAGGATTTGTCGATTAGGCAGCTGAGGTACATAAAGTTTAGCTTTGCAAGTCAGCAGAGGAATTGAGATTCGCATATAATTGGTAATTTTTAGAAGAGACATAGCTACCCAGTTTTCCATAGATGGGACTTGAATTTTGGGGATGTATCTAATGGCGAAACTTCCTAAGTGGAAACTGTGCAGTGGCTTTTGGAAAATGTAGCAGGCCTCCTTTTTAGAGATGACAAGTAGGTTCAGAGACTTTTCTAAGAGTATTTTGTCCTCCTTTTCCCTTTTCTTGCAGTACCTCAATGTATGCAAAGATCCTTATCTCTGCTGGGTTGGGATGGCTTTAAATCCAAATACTAGGACTATTGGTTTAAAGAACTGGCTTGAGGTGGTATGCAAACAGTTGTCTAAATGCCATTTAACTCTGGAGTATGTGTGTGCAAATCAGTATATTTGTCTCTGCTCATTAATATAATGCTGTTTGTATGTGAGCACAACACAATTTCCTAATGCTGTTCAAAGCCATGAAAGAAAAACTAGTCCAATTATTTCTTTTAATTAGGGACCGTGTGACAAGGACTTCTTTACATCAAGCTTTCTCTCTCTTCTCTTATGTTCACAGGGTTTTAGTCTTTTCCTGTGAGAGTGAATATTTTTTTCCTTTCCCTCCTCTCCCCCTCTCAAGAGTCTTACAAATTAAGACAAAAGATAATTACTCAGAAGAGTAAAACTGGCAGGTTCCCACGACACTTAAAATTAATGAGCTGTTGAGTACAAAATATACCTTGTCTCGGGTTCAGTCTCCTTTGCCCCCTGTCCCTCCCTTTCCTCTCCCCCCACACCCACCGCCACCCCTTTTTAACACAAGATTTGACTTTCTGGCAGTGTTTGCTGTCTTGGCGTTTTGCAGCAATGAAGTAGCAACATGATCTAGAAAGCAGGTCTATTTGAATACAGGTAAAGCCTGATTCTGCCGTGTCACCACTGCTGCTGCTGCCCCCTTCCCCGCTAACCCCTTTACATTGTCACCAACCAGAATAGGATCTGGCAGCTTTCAGGTCCTTCCTGTCCTGTCTTATCAAATTGTGTTTGCTTTGTGTTAATGATTTTTTAAAAAGTCAGTCATTCAGTTTACTTGAGTGACACTTTGTACAAAGGTTGCTATCCTTCTCTCCCTCTTTCCTTCATACCCCATGATTCCCTCTTCTCTCTTCCTCCATCGCCTTTATAGTTTGTAGAAAGCTACTGGTTGGCAGAGTTTGTCAAATGATGGTGTGCGGTGTTTGCTTCTAAGTTAGCATTGAGAGGAATTAGAAACACTTTTAATTTGTATTGATAACTATTTTTTTTGACATTGCCTTAGTTTCCTCATGCCCTTGCCTCTCTGCCTTGAATTCCTAGAGAGCCATCTCATATAATAAAGAATATTTTTCAAGAAAAGAATAAAAATCAACAGAAGCAGTCAGTACCATTTTCTTGGCTCTGCTGACTTCACTCTTGATCAGTTTACTTAAGTGTGTGTTCTGTATTCGCCCTATTAGTCGTTCACAGCACAGTAATATTCCATTATATTCATGCATTACAATCTGTTTAGCCATTCCCCAGTTGATGGGTATCTACTTTGTTTCCAAATCTTTGCTTCCTCAGAAAGTGCTGCCGGAAGTATTTTGGTGTATTTAGAAGATATTTATCCGATTTTGGTATCTGTTGTGAAGCAGGATAATTATTCAGGGTGATCGCCACTTAGAATGGGGACTGCCTGTATGCTTGTCCAGTGTCTTGGCCTTCCAAAGGAATCATTAAATGATATTTACTGTAATTGATTGTACTTTTGGGGATATCTGGAGGCGAGAAGAAAACCATGTCAAGGTCTTTCATGTATACATTTGTTTTGATGGCCCTAGATCTCAGGGGTACTCATGAGAAATAAGACTAGTGTGGCAGACAAAAAGAAGTAGAAACAGAAAAAAGCTTAGGATTTGAAAAGGGGGAGGGAAGGAAACAAACGTTTCTTAAGCTCCTATTGTGTGCCAAGCTTTACAGATATTCCATCGTTTGAAAACCAGGAACTTTGTTTGAATCCTTGCCCTGTGATCCTGGGCAAATCACTCCTCATCCTTAGCATGAAGGATTTCTGGCCTATGCACCAATGCATGTTACACTAATTGCATTGATGTGGCATCAACAAAAGACATCATGATGGCCTTCCCAGTAAAGGAGCTGTGTTCACTCTTCATAAATCCATAGATTCTCCATAATGACTCAGTTATATAATATGTGTGCCACATCATTTGCTCACCTGTGAAACACAGAGTGTAATTACAGTGGCCCTTTTAAAAGAGGAACAGACTGAGATTCTGAGAAGGTAGGTGACCTGCCCAGAGTTCCCCTACTGGGAAGGGATGGAGTCAGGATCTGGACACCAGGCTCCCTGACTCCTGTGCTCTTTTCTTTTCATTGGTCAGTATTGTTTGTTGCTAGGTAGAATGTTAGAAACCAGAGGGAGCCTCTGGAAGTTTGTGAGGCAGAGCAGGGCATACTTGATCAGACTTGTGCTTTGCAAATATGAATTTGGTGGCTCTGTCCTTTCCAGGTCTAAGATAATTTTAAAGCTTTTCAAACCTACCTTCTAGGGGTTACTGTGCTTCCTTCAAATTCATGCACTCTGGGATGCAGCCAGACCAGGCCAAGTTGTTGTTGTCCCCTGTACATGACAGTTCATCTCTGCTCTCCGCTTTTTTCTCCGGATGGCCTTCTTTGCCCAGCTTCCTGCAAAGGTCATCTCAAGTGCCACCTCCTCTCTGATACCTTTCCTGATTCCCCCAACCCCCGAGATTATTTCTGTATTTACTTCTCATATATTTTGCAAATGCTTTCCTGTTGTTTCTTGTTGCTGCTTAAAGGCCCAAGTACTGTTTGAGTTATGTTCCCAGCCCATTAAGAAATGTTGCTCATTGTGGTTTGAATCAAGTCGAGCCCCCTTCATTTTTCTCCACGAGGGGACTCAGACCTTGAGAGTTTCCTGTGTTGCCTCCCACAACTCATATAAGTGGCTGAGATTGGCCATCAAGGGATGGTTTATAGTCCTGATTTTTAAAAAAAAATCCCATTGTTCTTTGATTTCTTTTAAGATGTTGCTTCCTGTTTATCTCAAACCTTGGTGCAGATACCACTAGCTTGGGCATGATTGATGCTTTCTGACTGAACCTTAGGTAATGTGGGTTTTCTAGAATGTGGCTTTCCTTTATTTTCAGAGTGGTTTTTTGACATGGAAGGAACCAGAGACAAAATACTCAGGGTGTCAGATTGAGAGTTGAGTCCCTGGAGCTCAGTTTTCCTTCTGAAGCTCAGGGGCATTGCTGAGCAGTGACATAAAGAAGTATGACCATGATTGGAGGGAGAGAAGGAATCTTAAATTGTTCAGATGCAAAGGGGCACTGGTGGACTGAAAGCTAAATAGGAAACAAGGAAAAGCAGTGAAATCTTCCAGTAGAATGTTCAAGGAAACATTCGCAAAAACGTTTGTAACTGCTGTCATATTAATATCATGGTAAGGGAAGGATTCTGACCTGTAAAGTAGGTGCTGATGTCATTGGTACTGCTGTGTTACCCATAGATGAGTCAGGTGATGCTTTATTGACTAAAATGCAGGCTCTTACCGGGCTGCACACTCACCAGAATTAACAAGAACATATGACTCTGCCGTATTTGAAAGCGAATGCAATTTCCTCATTGTTTTCCAGTAGTACATCAAGAGAATTGCGTTATTGTGTGATGGAGGTAGCATGGTGAAATGAGTAGACTCCTTCCTATTCTGGAGTCAGGGAACCAGGCTTTAAATCCTGCTCTTGTCTCTTTTCCAAACTTAACTTTTCTGGGCCTCAGTTTACTCATTTGTAAAATGAAGGAGATGGATAAGAAGATCCCATGAGCTCTGTAAGATTAATATTTTTCTAGCCCTCAATTGTCTTGTGCTGAGAATAGGTCTGGCATGGGCCGGCACTGTGATTTCCAGCACATTCTTCCATAAAGAATCTGTTCTGCCTTAGCTTGAAGTATGTGATACCAAAAACATACTTGACTTTCGTTTGCATCATTCTGCTTAGAGGGTGGTGCCTGAAGGTTTGCCATGTGCTCACCTTTTTTTGGTGTTGTTTCTTTTATTCACTGAGGTAAATTTTGAACATGAGGGTACCTGATAGTTGTGTTAGTTTGTGGTAAGGAAGCAGTTGAGTTATCTTTTTGGTGTTTTAAAGAAAATTGACTTATGTTTTTGCCAAGGTCAATTGGTATTTGTGGAGGTATGACTTATTTATAACATGCAGCAACTCCGTTCATCTCTTCTAGTGTTCAACGGTTCCAGCAAATCCTCAAAGGAGAAGGAACCTGCTCCGAAACACAGAAGCAAAGAGGCCACGCCAGGGAAGGAGAAGAACAGCGATCCCAGGGCTGAGAGCCGGAGGGAACAGGCTGCTGCTCCCCACCCCCCGGCCACAAACACAGGTTCCTCAGCTAAAGGGCTTGCTGCTAACAACCACCACCACACTCTCCATAGATCGGCTCAGGACTTAAGGAAACAGGTAACTGCCAGGGTTGTGATTGGGGTTGTGGTCACCTGGCAAAGGATTCATGTGCGGTCAGTGTTATTCTTCTTCACCAATGTACTGTAAAGGGCAATTTGAAATCCATTATTTTGGGTAAAAAACAAAGAAATAGAATAATGGGCAAGGATTGTTACCACGATATATGAGAGACAGAGAGAGACAGAGAATATGAATCATGTGCGGTTCCTATTTCAGTGCCATTCTGGCATAGGGTTAGAGAAGTATGGAGAGACCACTTTTTTCCCCCTTGTTTACTGCAACTTCATTTTAAACAGAGAACAGGTAGCTTCAATTATATTTACAACAGAGGCTGATAAGTATAATATCTGTGGTCGGTCCCGTCGTTCTTAAACTCAGCTCCCTGACTGGCGTGCTTTCTCTCTCTCTCTTTTTTGTCTCTAAAATGTCTTCATTCCCAGCATTCTAGAGGCATCTAGATTGCTAAGCAGCCCTCATTAGGCGAGATGCTGCTAAATTTTCTATTGTCAAGGGATGCCCTTGAACCTCGAGCGCTGATCTGTGAGGCCAGAATGCTTTTGAACTTTGCCCACCAGCAGGGGATAAAACTGCTTGGGAAAAATAAAGTTCTGCTTATTCATGCTACCCCACCCACTCAGTGCAGTCAGCAGCTAAGCACTTCTTGATTATTTCCTGGCCAATTTGTTTAGGGTCCTGCTGCTTCCATGGGGGCATCTCTTTTTTGTTTTTGTTGCTATCCACAGCATTCATAAGCATGGTTTATAAAAATGAAGGCCCACCTCATCCTAGCAATTCTCTCAGTCCTGAGAGGCAAGAGCAAAGGAGTTTCATGTTCTGGGACATAGATCCCAAAGCAAGGCATTTCAGTGGCGAAATTAGGATCACGACCTAGTGTCCCAGGGTCACCACTCCCTTAGACATGTAGTGAGCCTTGCAGATTCAGTGGACTGCCTTCACAGCTCCATTTAAAGTGGAATTCTTCCTTCATGTCAATGAACCTTGTTTTCTGGGATTTAAGGTGGGGAGGGAGGGGTCCAGGGGGAATGATTTCATATCATTTTTTGGAGGGGAAGAAGGAAAGACGATATTTGATGGGTCCTTCTCCAGTGGTTTAGAAGAAGATAGTAATGTGGGTAGAAGGCTTTCTGAAAGTCCCATCTTTTTATTTTCTGTGGACAGCAGTCAGTCTCTCTGTCTCTTACATTCTACAATCTCTCTCTCTCCCTTTCATAGTTAGATTTAAGAAGTCATGAGCTCCTCAGTGATCTTCTTTGACGTGTTAGACCTTGGACAAACTATATTGGTGTTGCCTCAGTCCCTGTCATTCTCATCTCTGAATCTTGAAAGCGTTTATTATCTCAGGAGGTTCAAGTAGTGGGTCTTGTAATTTTCCAGCTTTTGGCTAACATCTTGCCAAAAGCCAAACCTTACATGATACTCCTGTCCATTGAGGAGTTTGGGGGAAGGGCAGACCCAGAGTTCGTTTTAACTGTCTGGACCATCTTTGTTTGGAGTAGCTCTTCTATAGGCTTCCATGAGATAACATACATAAGCTTCTTTGAAAATTTTTAGGCACTATGTAAATGTCATTTCTTATTATTTGGTGTGGAAGCTCATCTAAAAAAAATGTTTTTTTAAACAATTTTTTTTTAATGAACAGAAATCTCTTTTCTGTCTTCCTCTCCCTTCTTGAAAGGAAATAAAAAGAAAAGAAAAATGGATTCCTTGTGAAGCATAACCAATTTCCCACATTGGCCATGTCCAAACAATACAAGTCTCAGACTATACCCTCAAATGGATACTAATCTGAAAGGTTGAGGAGAAGGGTTCTTTGGCTTCAGGGAGGTTGTTAACCCCACACACTTCCCTCAGGTTTGCTGTTGTCAAAAAACAAGGTTCACCTGTTTTGGGTTATTAGACCTCTTTGGAGCTGCTTCATAATGTAAGTCCAATAGTTTAAGGGATATAGGTTCAAAAGATAACCATTCATCTCTGGCAAGTCATGTAGAATTCTACCATAAGTACATTTATTTTCAGAAATCACATACATGGAAACAGAAAAGGAGAGATGACAGATGTCAGTTTTCATTTGGCCCTCCTGGTTTTTCCTTGTCACTCAGTCAGACATATATTAAGCACCTTTTACGTACGAGGCACTGTGCTAAGTGCTGGGGATACAACAAAAGGCAAAAGACAGCCCTCCTTCATAATCTAGTGAGGAAGACAACATAGAAACCACTGAAATAAAAAATAATCAAGAGGGGAGAGTCATAAACAGCTTCCTGTGGAAGAAGATGGGACTTGAAGGAAGCCAGGAGCTGGAGGGAGAGCCAGGAATGAGGGACTATTTAGCTGTGTTGTTTTCTTTGAAGCCTGTATGCCCTGTGTACAGTGGAAAGAACGGTGGATTTGGAGTCTGAGTACCTCGGCTCTAGATCACCATTCTGAATTTATTTATTCCCTGTGCAACCTTGGGCAAATCACAGAGCTTCTCTGGACACCATTTTTCTCAAGCACAAAATTAGGGGGTTGAGCAACAAAATATGGAATAAGTACAGACAGGGGAAGTGGAGGGCTTGGACAGAGACATTATTTACCTGGCTCTGCCTTGCTTCCATTGCTTAGTAATGTCTGTCTATCTCCCCCCCCCATCTCTTTCTTTCACTGGATTGCTCTTTCACTCTTCTGATCTCTTTTTCTGTTCTCTCGAGATCTCTGTCTGTCTGTCTGTCTCTGGATCTCTCTCTCTCTCTGCTTAATGTCAGACTTCATAGCCAGAGTGTTATGCTCCTTGGTTAAATTTACAGAACTGGCCCAGGTTCCCCATGCATCTGCAGGATATGGGCTTTCACTATGTGTGTGCTGCAGACTTTGGTTGTGGTGTTTGTGCAGTGTCTTGAAATGTTGAAATATGCCTAAATTATACAGGCAAAGATAGCAGTAACCAATACAAATGTCTTCATGGGTTGTATATTAGTCTCTCCCTGTGCACCTCCTGCCCCTAAAGGGTAATCATTAAAGCTTGATGATCTAGAGCAGGGGTTCTTAAACCTCACATCCATAAACTCTGTTTGGGGGTTTGGTTTTTTGAAAAAAACAAAACAAAACAAAAACCTCGATGGCTATAATTCATTATGATCAGTTTCTTTTGTAATACTATGTATTCTTATGCATTTAAAGACATTATTCTTAGAGAAGGAAAGGGTCCACGGTCTGCTGTAGTGGCCAAAGAGGGGGGAGGTTCATGTCATTAAAAAAAAGGTAACCCCTATTTTTAGTAAAGCACTAGAAGTCAGAGTCTCCTAGTGTCCTAGTCCTATCTCTGACGCTGACTTTTTGTGACCCTGCCTCCCCATTTCTTCTGAATTGGCACATGAGAATTAATTCTTAAAACAACAACATTGTGAGCATTTTGCCAATGCAGTACTGATGGAAGCTGTTGATAACAATAACAATGGCAATAATAAAAAAAAGTGACATCTGTGTAGTGCTTTGATGTTTGCAAAGCTCTTTAAATACCTTATGTCATACTGATTCCCTGGTAGAAATGAAGACCATTTTAGCTGTCAGCTGCTTGCAGATGTAGGCCTTTAGGAGTTAAACCTTTGCAATCTAAATGAGGCCAACTGCTGTGTGTGTGTGTGTGTGTGTGTGTGTGTGTACACACGTGTATAAACACTGTGTTAGAGGGAGATTTGCCTAACACCATGGCAGTACTTGGTGGTAGGTAATACTAGGGGTATAGATGTAAGGCAATAACTCTATCAGGCTCCTACTTGCTAAATTTCATCAACTAGGATACTAAAATAGATTCGTCATAACTAAAAAAAAAAAAATTAGTGTGTGGTGAGTTTTCCATGCTGTAGAGGCCCAGTAACCATAGGCCTCAGCTTGCAGGAATGTGAGATTTTCCCTACTCTCCTCCCCCTACTTTGGAGGGACCTGTCTCACCCTCTCCTTTTTCTAGTAACTAACATTGTATTTTTGTTAGAGGCAAGTTAATACGCTTGTCATAACAATAATGCTTTAATTGCCATCGGTGCAGTATACACTCCCTCTCTTCAATGTTTTGGGTGTGCTAGGTTCTTCACGATGGCACTAATGATGTTTTCCCTTCTGTTGCCTAAAATAGCACCTCATTTCAAGTGCAGTAACAACTTCAACAAGGTAAAACAAATGAGCTTACACCTAGGGAAGGTTTGGAAAGAACAGATGTATCCCTGGGATTATAATGAGGACTTTTTACCTGGATAAAAATTTGGGCACCTGCAGTGAACCAGATTGTGAATAGATTTGATAGGTGTTTCTGCTTGGGCAGTGAGGTCCCTCCGTTTTCATTCCAAACTCTCCAGAAGTGGGCAGGAAAAAAAAAATCTATAATTTTTTTCTTCCCATTGGCAGACTAAGCAGGTGCAAAAGAAGTTGAAGTGGTCTGCTTTCAAGTTGAAAAATAGTTTTGTCTGGGGAAGGTTACAGATGATGAAGAGATTTTCCTGTTTGCTTTGAATTTGCTAGTCACTCTTAAAGCATTGGGTCATCCTTCCTTCTTTCCTTCCATCCAAAAGTAATTTTTATTTTCCTTCTGTCAGGACAGTAGGGTTGAGAAGTAGGATTGTAGCGTCAGAAAACAATCTGATTTGAAAATGAAGGCGTTATCAATTTGTATTCAGTCTTGCACAAATGCTTTAGTTAGCAAATAACATACCTTGCATTTGGGAATTTCTCTGGTGATTGAAAGTGAAGGAGGCTGCTATAGAAAGAAAGAGCTAGTAATATCTGCAGGTGCCAGGCTTTAGTTGATAAGAATAAGGTGAAACCTTAGCTTAGCCATTAGTTGAAAAAGGTTGATTTTGTTGTTGTTGAATGTTTAATGTCTTTCTAAGAGAATTCTTTGGGTTGCCAAGACCGCTGGCACATTTTGTTGTCTGATGACTTTACGTTCAGATTTTTTTGGATTGGGGGGAGGGTGGAGAAGCAGAGAGCCTAATTCAAAATAAAGGTGTAAAGCATCACTGGCCACCAAATGTTTCTCTCTCTAGCTCACTCACTGGCTGTCTCTCTTCTGGCAGGAGTTGGGTGGAGAAATTCAGCTCAATGGTTCCCTCTAGTGGGGTAAGAAAGCACCACAAAATTCTCCTATTAATAGTGTAGGAATTATGTAGCCTACCTGCCTCACAGAAATCTTGAGAGGATCAAAATATTTCTGTTCACTTAGCCAAAACTTGCTTGTAGGCATAAATTCATTGTTATACTTTTTAAAGACTCTGAGTTATGAACATGTGTGTTTCTACAATCAAAGGGAATTGATTGCACTGCTGTACTGAGTATACCTAAAAACTGGAAGGAGTTGCGGGGGACATATACTTGAGCTAATCACATTGCCATATATTGGGTGTTGTCTTTAAAATGCAAATTCTGCTAACAAGAGGAAAAAAAGGACAAAGGGAGGTTTCATGTCCTGAGGGATTTCATATTCCTTATCTTATATATCATATATCCCCACTGCAGGGAAATGAAGGTATTATTTTACTGTAAGACTATAAGTACTAGTACCATTCCCTTCAATGCAGCTTTTAGAAATCTCTCAGAATGATGTTAAGGAGGAGAAAATACTGTATCCCAGTAGTATTCATCTCAGTCTTGCGTATGAAAGGGAAATTTAGTTTTATGGTGATTGTAACTGGTTATCCCGACACCTGCCGTACCAGTGTGGTTGAGAGGGTTGTAGCCAGAAATTGTAGGTGATTAGAGACTAGAATCTGTAGAAGAATCATGTGCATTGGCTCTATTAATTAGAGTTTGGGTTTATGGAATTCTACTTGGAAGACTTGGAGCTCCAAAGCTTCATGGCTGTTGTAGGAAGAACCTGGGGCTGGGTTCTGGTGGGTTTAATTACCCCTTTTCCTTCCCTTGTACTCTGGCAGAGCAGCCTTCATGGGAACTTTTTATTCTCCTTGAAGATGCATATGGAAATGATTTTTCCCCTTGATCTTACAGACACCTGATTTTCCATTAAGTTGGTCTCCTTTGTAGGTTTGGGGTGAGGAGAGCAAGTTTTAAAAAAAAAGTGCATGCAAAACCCAGTGCTGCTTCAGAAATGAGAGTTGTCCCATAAGAGGTTATCTCAGTTCACACCAAGGTTGGTTTTAATGAGTGCTGAAGGGTTCTTGCCCTAGCCAGCTTCATGCTAATTCTCGGATGAATTAAAATGCCTTCTCTCTTATGTGCTCAGTGTAAGCACTGCCTCTGGATGTGGATCAGTGACACCAGATCCCCCTGTGGTGAGCTGGCCATGACCTGTGTACTTTCTTAAGCTGAAACTCAGTGTGTGTGGTTTTGTTTGAGATAGTGATGGGGGTGGAGGGGGAAGAGACCATCAGTAGCAGGGTAAGAAAATGCCTTCCTAAATTACTTTGTTTTTCTTTGGTACCAACGACATGTTAGATCCTCAGAGACAAGTACAGGTAAAGGAATGTGTATGTTTTTGTCAGGCAGCTAGGCAGGTCCCAATTTTTACCACCCAAATGGGTAGATGGCCTCTGGTTCCATTTTCTCCTTATCTTTTAGGGATGCTGAGTGCAGTCTAGCTTGTTGGGAAGATTTCCTTTGTAGGTGTAATCTTACTAGGGGTATCACTACATCTACTGGTAACCTCTGGGCAGTATGATGTCAGGGGGTAAGGTGGGAGGAGAAAGGGAAAAACTAAATGAAGCATGCCTTGTTCTAATCCTGGAGTAGAATGATGAAAGTTCATCCCTCTTTCAAGTCAGCCACGTAGCACCGGGTGGGGGGGGGGGCGGCAGGAATCTATTTTATCTTTGCTGTGTTGGCATGCATGTACAAGTTTGTAGTGGTCACTGTTTGAATATAGTTTTTATTAAATGAAAGTAGGAGGGGAGAAAAGGGATACATTCACTAATATTTCTAATAGAGAGTATGTTTTTAGGACATAAAAGGTTTAAAATTTTATTAAAATAGGGATGTCTGGGGCAGCTAGGTGGCTCAGTGAATACAGCACCAACCCTGGAGTCAGGAGGACCTGATTTCAAATCTGGCCTCAGACACATGGTACTTCCTAACTGTGTGACTCTGGGCAAGTCACTTAACCCCACTAAAAAAATAAAATAAAATAGGGATGTCTGAGATAAATTTTTGGTATGTCACCAATTATAAAAGATGACACAAAGTACCACATTTCTTCCCATTTAAAGTTAAAAATGTTAGCAGGAAATATCTTTTGCCATTAAGGAGTGGGTATTCTTTGATTCTACCAGCATTTCCCCTTACCATTTGGCATATCTGATTCCATTGGGCCTACACAACAGGATAGCATGTGGTTTTGGGGGAACCAGAGTAACCTGGAAAGGGATTCTTACAAATCATCTGGTATAACTATTTAACTTTTAGAAATAGCTAATACTGATATAGTATCAATATTAGTTTAAGGTATGCATTTCATTTGATCCTCCCAACAACCACCCTAACAGAATGAGGAAACCAAGGTTGAGAGAAGTTAAGCATTTTATCTAGACATTACGCAGCTGATAAGCAGGATGCCCCCTCCTGACTTCCTTACTCTTACATCTGGTGCTCTGATCCCTAAGCCATCAGCTGCCCAGAGGAGTATAGTGTTTTGCCCAAGGATCATTTGCTAAAATAGCTGGCACTAGAACCTAGATATCTTGATTCATAGTCTAGCCTTTTTTTCAGCAACCCTATTCTTAACCTCCTGCATGCCCTGCAGGGGATGAGGCCTCTGCTTACAATGGGTAAGGTGAGCCCTAGACACATACCAAGCCCAGACCTTCATCTTATCCAGGCAAACTTGTGGGTGGGTGGTCCGCTGTTGGATATTTTAATGCTATATCATAAGCCTAAAGGTGTAGAGATTCTTTAAAAAAATTTTTTTCTTTATTCCTGCACCTAATAGCTTAGGTTAGGGGCACATGTGGTAAAAGGGACTTGTTTCTACCAGTAATTGGAGAAGTAGCTTTCTAAAGATAAACACAGTACGGTAGAATTTAGAGATAGGGTAGAGGACTACTTCAGTGATGGATATTTAAAATAGATTTTAAATGTAGGTTTCCTTTTGTACTTTAATTTTTTTTTGACGTAGTTCTCATTTTCAGTGTTACAATCATGTAAAATTTTTTTTTTTCAGTTTCAGAGATCAACAAGGCCAGCCTCCTTATTTTACAGATGAGAGAATACTAAGGCCCAGAGGGATTTAGAACTGGGAGGGACCTACGGAGTTCAGCCCCTTCATTTTACAGAGAAAATTGAGGCGAAAAGAGATTAAATGACTCGTCTGAGATCACAATTAATGTGACAGAGATGGGATTGAAACCAAGACCCAGCACTCCAAATCTAGTGCTGTCTCTACTGCATCACACTCCTAGTGACTTGTCCAAAGTCATCACACTAGAACTAGACGTTTGGCTTGGATGATAGCAAGCTCCTGGGTTTCATTCTTGTTTTGAAGTTATGGCCTCTTTGGTGCAAACTCAGGCTCTGATCGGCTTCCTCCTTGCCATGGCATCTCACCATCAGCCTCACTGTGTGACCCATATGTGAGCATCAGTGCTGGTTCCAGGGCAACTTATTTTCCCTTCCCCCTTCAGCAGTGGAAGTCAAAGTAATATGGAAGTTTAGCTAGGTTGGAAGAACAGGGATCCATACGTGAAGCGTGGTCAACAGAGAGGATTAGAAGGTTTTCACTGTGCTAGAGATTAGGTGCATCGCTTTTTTTCATCAAGGAGCTTTCAGAGCCCAAGAAGAGCTCAGAAATAGTAATAATCATAGCCAACATTTATATGTAGAGCTTCAGAGTTTGGAAAGAGAGTTACAAGTATGATCTCTCTTATACATGGAAAAAGACACAGGGAGGGGCAGCTAGGTGGCACAGTGGATAGAGCACTGGCCCTGGATTCAGGAGGACCTGAGTTCAAATTTGGCCTCAGACACATAACACTTACTAGCTGTGTGACCCTGGGCAAGTCACTTAGCCCCATTGCCTAGCCAAAAAAAAAAAAAGAGAGAGAGAGAAAAGAGACAGGGAGAAAGAAAAGAGAGACCCTGACCAATCCATGCTCCCACCCAAGCTTAGCAAGTGAATGAGAACCTGAGCTTAAGACTCACAAATGTTTGGCTTCTAGTTTTTTAAATCTTTTGTGTGTGTGTTTTCTCTTTCACACATGAAGTCTGTTCTTCTGTGAGGGGAACACGTAACATGAAGATCATTAGCCTAGGCTGCAACTGGTAGGCACATCATGAACTCCCTACATTTTATGGAAGAACAAAGCTGTGTGAATAGACACTCATTTTAAAACCCATTCAACACAACACTTAGCTGCAAGTTACGCAGTCTAGAGATCTGTATCTAGATATGTATAGCTATCTCTCTACATTTATTGATATATACATATATCAGTAAAAGTATTAATAGATATAGTTATCTATATAGACTTAGATATGTAAAGATAGAGATCAATACTGATTTATAGCTATGTCCCTATCAGTAGAAATAGATGTCTCCATAGAGATATCTATAGATATCTATGCATATGGATCTATATCTAGACACAAATCAGTATATAGAACACACACACACCCCTGGTATAGTTCTGAATCAGTTTCTATATCTCTATCTTTACTTAAAGTAAAAGGGTTTCATGTTTTTTAAAAAAGGCAATTAGGTGATGAGCGGTTTCCTTCTTAAATAGGTCTCTGGTCCCCCTGGGTGGGCAGCCCCAGTACAGGGCCGGGGAGCTTCAGCCTCGTGCGCGGGTCCTGGGGGTGCTTTCCGAAGGGTGGGCTTGTGGCACAGCACTGCACCTTACTGACGGCCTGTTCTCCCCCCCCCACACCCTGTGTTCCCTCAGGTTTCTAAAGTAAATGGAATCACTCGAATGTCCTCTCTGGGTGCGAGTGCAGCCAGTGCCAAAAAGATGCGAGAAGTGAGACCTTCACCGTCCAAAACTGTGAAGTACACTGCAACGGTGACAAAGGGGACTGTCACATACACCAAAGCCAAGAGAGAACTGGTCAAAGAAACCAAACTCAATCACCACAAGCCCAGTTCGGCCGTCAACCACACAATCTCAGGGAAAATTGAAAGTAGCAATGCAAAAACCCGCAAACAGGTGCTATCCCTCGGAGGGGCGTCCCGGGCCGCGACGCCCGGCGTCAAGGTCAATGGCAAGTTGAACCCAAAGTCATGCACTAATAAGGAGGTGGGCAGGCAGCTGAGGGAGGGGCTGCGCACTTCCAAGAGGCGGCTGGAAGAGGCCCACCCGGCCGAAAAGGCGCAGCCGCCCCCCAAGAAGATGAAAGGCCCCGCCGAGGCCCCCAGCAAGAAGGCAGCGGCCGCGTCAGGGGCCCACGTCGACAAGAAGCCTCTGCTGAACGGCCATGTCCGAAAGGAAGTGCCTGACAAGAGTCTGGAGAGGAGCCGGCCCAAGCGCGCGGCGGCAGCGGCCGGGGCCGGCAGGAGCCCGCCCAGGAAACAAGCACACGGCAGAGCAGAGGCCGCCACGGCCTCGGCCTCCTCCGCCTCGGCTGGGGAAAATCGTTCTACCTCGCACACGGAGTCCTTGCACAAGCCCCCCGACTCCGCGGGAAAGCACGAGAGGGGCGGCGGCAGCGGCGTGGGCAGGCCGGGCTGGGCCGGCACCCACGAGATCCCCACGCTGCGGCCCTCCGCCAAGGAGTTTCATGACCCGCTCATCTACATCGAGTCGGTCCGAGCTCAGGTAGAGAAGTACGGCATGTGCAGGGTGATCCCGCCCCCGGACTGGAGGCCTGAGTGCAAGCTCAACGATGAGATGCGCTTCGTGACCCAGATCCAGCACATCCACAAGCTGGGCCGGCGCTGGGGGCCCAACGTGCAGCGGCTGGCCTGCATCAAGAAGCACCTCAAATCTCAGGGCATAACCATGGACGAGCTCCCGCTCATAGGTAAGCCACCCCCCCACCTGTGCGCGTGCCCAGACCAGGAGCCCTCCCCCTCTCCTTGTGCGCATGCCCACCTGGCAGCCCTCCCCTCCCACCAGGGCCTTTCTGTCCTCTTACCTCTCTATGGTTAGGGAGGCAGCCCGACCCTTCTCAGGCCTATGCCCTTGAAGCGGATTCAGGGGAGAGCTGGAAACTGAGGCTGTCGCTGCTCATGGAGGCCATGCCCAGGCTGTTCCTGGAGCAGGAAGTCCTGGCGGAGCTGGGCTCTGTGTGTGTGTGTGTGTGTGTGTGTGTGTGTGTGTGTGTGTGATTTACATGTGTGTAGATACATGTGCATAAATAATTATACTGTGATATACTGATATAAAATGTATTATGATGTATTCTGTTTTGGTACATTATGATGTGATCTATTAAGATATGTTCTATTCTGTTATTATCTGTTAGAATATATTCAATTTTATTCTGGTATCTTGTGTCATCATAGCAAATATATTTGGATGTATTCTAGTTTATTATATATTCTATTCTGTGACGGATATGGTACATTGTGTGATATGATGGTTTATTATCTGATGACATTCTATCATATATATCATATGATGTACTCTACTCTGATACCTTTTATTCCATTATGATGTATTTTCTACTGTGATACAATATATTGTTATGATCGATTATCATATTATATGTAAAATAAAAGTACATATTATGATTATATCATGATATAATCATAATGTAGACACAAACACTAATTATATGTCATTGTGTCAGTATAAATTATATATTATGTAACTTATAATCATGAATTATAATATCGATATAAAATCATATTGAAATACATATTTTGATATTTGTATTTCAGTATAATTGGTTTCCTTCATAATCCTGTGCATTTTATTGTTTTTATATAAAAACATGATTCTAAGAAAGGTTTCATTAAGTTTCACTAGGCTGCTAAAGAAAAGTTAACAAACTTTTAGACTAATGACCTGACCCTCTTCCCAGGTTAGCAGCCTTGGGCTCTAGGTGGTATGGGGGGAATCCAAGGAGCACAGCCAGGTGGAAGATTCATGCTGCTGGGCTTACATGGCTTGTCTGCTTTCTAACTTCTGACTGAGCCTCTCAGCCTGAAGTAGCAGGGAGAGACAAAAGAATGGAAGGGGAGAGGCAAATATCCACAAGCCCTTGGGAGACTCTAGCCTCTTGTCTACTCTTGTCTACCCCCCCCTTCTCCCTTCCTCCTTTTTTTCCCCCTCCTAAATTGGTCTCAACTGCCATGTTTGTAACTTGATCTTGGTCTGTGGATGAACTTGTGTGCATTATTGGACTACTAGATTGGAAAATTTCCTCCCAGACCAGGTGCAGTGCAGATGGGTCCGGCGCAAGCCTGAGCCACTCAGTACACATTAATGTTGTCTGCTGCGTTGCTGTTTTGACCCCCCTCCCTGGAGACAGTCCTTTCTGTAGACTACCCAACCCTTTCCGCCCCCTTTTCCATTTTTTAAAGTTCCCCTCAATGTCACTATGGACCGTACTCTGTCAGTGATTGTATTTTTCATGTTCTTCAGATTGAATTATCCCATTGGAGATGCGGACACTTTACTTGGCAGTGTTAGTTTCACTTTGGGACCCTAGCTAAAGGCAATTTTTCTCTCTCAGCTGGAGGGCTGCTGCACAAGTTGTCACTTTGGCTCACGTTTGGAAATCCAAATACTGACGATCGCAAAGTTTTCAACGACAAGCAGACGTTTAACAATCATTAAGTGTCAAGAATAGGCAGTAAAACGTGGCTCATTGCAAAATGGAGGTTTCATTATTCCTCTCGGCAGGGGGCTGCCAGGGCTAATGCCTGAGTGAGAATCACTTAATTTGAAAGAATTCTTGGTTTATGGTCCGCTGTCAAGTGTGACATGTGATAGGACTGTAACAAAGGGCTGAGAGAACACACATGCATGGGATATGTGCATATGTGCATGCTGCCTGAAGTAGAAATGAGAGCCCCTCAGTCTTACAGAGCACTCACTGCCTGACTGTGTTCGCAAAGCAGGCTTCACGTATTAGCACAAGCATCTTTGGGTGTGATGTCATCATCAGAGTGCTCATGGGCCCAGTGATGACCAAGAGGCAGCAAGGTAAAGTTCTGCCCTAGAACTGTTTGGGGGAGCTCAGTGGAATGGTGATGGTAGCCCCATAAATCTACGTAATTAATGATGAAGAACCAAAGAGTTTGTTAAGGATAAAATCTCCTTTTTATTTAACTTCACTGTTTCTTAACCTTGTGTGGTATAGTGGCTTGGAGTTTTGTTGTATGTGCAGGCCGAGGACCTGTATTGTACCATGGGTTAGATATCGTAGATGTCCAGGGTTTGGGCTAGAAGAAGGCCTGTAGGGGCATGATTAGGTGGCTCACAGGCCACACAGTCAGACCCTGTAGATAGTCAGCTTAAACATTTGAAATGTGAAGCTGTTTAATCACTTTCAGAGCCCACTGCAAAATTCAGTAAAAATGTATATATGCTTGCGGGTGCGTGTATCTGTGCATAAATGTAAGTGTTGTAACTTGTGGTTCAAAACCTTCAGAGAAGAGTTGTGCAGTTTTTGTAGGAGGGAAGAAAATAATAAAGAATACATGCCATAACATCCGAACTGTGATTTCAGTCTGGCTTATGTTGAGGACTCTGACCAGCCAGAGAAGCTTCAGTGTTTCTTTGCTCCTGTCCTCTTTACTTCCAGATTTTTGTTCAGTTCCATTGAAAAAGCATTTGAGTTCCTGCCATGTATAATAGGCCCTGAACAACAATAGGGAAGAAGTAAGGGAGGGTTGGAGTGGGAGGGGGGGGTTGAGATTATAGAGACATAGCACTGGGTTGGGTTTCAGGGCAGTGAGGTCCTCGTCTTGATACTATGTCCCTTGTCACCTTTGTGACTCAGAACAAATCACTTAAACTTTCTGGACCTTAGTATTCTCTTGGAAAATGGTGGAGTTGGACCATCCCATCTCTGACATTCTGGGAATCTAAAGTTCAGAAGTTAACCCCAGTTTTCATCTTCTGAGACCTCTGATCCAGGTGTACTTTTCATCTGTCTGCAGTTGGATGCAAATATCCTTAAATTTTGAACATCTGAAACCCCCATTCTTTCCTCTCCCTTTGTTTCCTGGTATTTTTTTTTTAACCAGGTATTGTGTCAGAGCATCTAGAAGTCAATCTGTTAGTGGGTAGAGGTAGCCCAGTATTTTATTTTTCAAAGTGGTAAATCTTTCTGGTCACATGCAGAGAAGAATAACTAAAAGGGTGAAATTTGACTTGGACCCTGGACCATTTTGCTTGTTACTCATCTGTTTGGATTTTAACATTGTTTGCAGCTCTTGGTTGCGGAACCTTATTCTGGTTTAAGTTGAACATATAAGGATGAATAAGAACTGAATTACCCTGTGGTCCTGAAAAGAAAAGAAAAAGTATTTGTGTACACATTTAAATTGTGCATGTCTAAACATTGCCCTTTTAGCTTGGGAATCCAGTAGTTTCAGTAGAAAAAGATTGTTATTTTCCTCTTTTTGCCCTCCCACTTCCGCCTCCCCATGCACACCAATGCTAAAAAACCCGATGCTCTCACCCTCTTCCTCTGTCCTCTGTTTCTCTGTTTCTCTTTGTCCCTTCCTCTATCCCCTGCTGTTTCATAGGAAATTTAACAGTGTTTCCCTCGAAAGACAGTAAGAATTCTTCTCCTTCATTGCTGACATAATAACATAACCTGGAGGACTATACCAACTCTAAATCTAATTGATTTAATGTGTGTAGTGGACTGGGTACCTTGGAGACCTCCACTCTGCCTTTTGCTGATGAAGGAATTCTAAATCATTCAATAGAGGCTTTGTGCCTCTGTTTCCTCCTCTGTGTAATGGGAGTAACACATGCTTGTTTCTTTAAACATGTAAATGAAGAAAACCTGAAATTTGGGGAAGAATTTTGTTACCTAAAATCCTCGGGGGGGGGTAGGGATTGGTGCCTGTGTTCACTGGTGACTTTTTACCTGATTGTTTCCTGTTTTTTCCTCCCTCTCGCATCCAAAACGACATGCCCACTTTCCAGGAGGCTGTGAGCTGGACCTGGCCTGCTTTTTCCGGCTGATTAATGAGATGGGCGGCATGCAGCAAGTGACTGACCTCAAAAAATGGAACAAACTCGCAGACATGCTGCGTATCCCCAAAACTGCCCAGGACCGGCTGGCAAAGTTGCAGGAAGCCTACTGCCAGTACTTGCTGTCATATGACTCCCTTTCACCCGAGGAGCACCGGAAATTGGAGAAGGAGGTTCTGCTGGAGAAAGAGATCTTGGAGAAGCGGAAAGGCCCTCTGGAGGGCCACTCTGAGAATGCCTATCACAAATTCCACTCCTTGCCCCGGTTTGAGCCCAAAAATGGCCTCATCCATGGCGTGGTCCACAAGAATGGCTTCCGGAGCAAGCTGAAGGAGGTGGACCATGTCCAGCTCAAAACTGGGAGGCGGCGACTCTTTGCTCAGGAAAAGGAGGTTGTCAAAGAGAAGGAGGAGGAGGAGAAAGGGGTCCTCAGTGACTTCCACAAGTGTATATATAAGGTAGGAGAACCTTTGTTCCCTCCACCCAGCCCCCTTGTTTTTGGGATGCCACAGGGGCTTTCCATGGAAAATGCTTCTGCCCTGGGGGTAGCCATGAAGCCATTGGGTGCTTCCTCTGACTGCCCCAGACTGAAGGCTCCCACTTGCTGATTTAGCATTGTGTTGTGTCTACAGAGGTGGGGCAGCAGTGATTGTTGGTTGAGTGGGTGGTCAGCTGACCTCAGATTCTATCCAGCTGTCCCCATGGGAGGTGCCAGAGGTGACAAGTGAGTGGTCTGAGCCCCTTCATTGGGAGTATGGCCTTGCAAGTCCAGGAAAACAAGCCAGAACGGGGAGCTGGGGTGGTATATTGGGGAAAGAGCACCCACTTGGGAACCAAGACATCTGAGTCCTGTCGTTGAAATTTAACCTTGCAAGTTACTCTGAATTTGAGCGTGAAAGATTTATCACTCTGAAAAATGAAAGGCCTGTAATAGATCAGTTTGGCATTCCTATAACTAGCTAGTCTTGGGGAAATCACTACCCCACTCTGTTCCTCAGTTTCCTTACCTGTTAAACAGCAAGGTTAGACTGAATGATTTCTCAGAGTTCCATCTAGCTCTAGCACTTTGATGGAAAACTTTGAATAATCCCTGAGGTGGATATTGATTTCTTCCTCCCCCCAGCCCCCAGCTGGTGGATGCAAGCTGCCTAGGAAAGAGCTATTCTCAGCCAAAGATCCATGAGGAGGCTTCTGCAGTTCTTCCCATAGTACACAACCCTAACTTCATAAAAATATTTTTTTTTCTTTCCCTCCCTATTTATATTCAACACAGTCTCCTGCCACCCAGCTCCTAGTTGCTCTGCCAGGTCCTTTTATAGAAAGAGAGAACAGGCCCCGATAAAGCTATCAAAACGTATCTCACCATTAACGTGCAAGTGGAAGAAAACAGAAATTGAAACACGTACAATGTTTTCTCCATTTCTGCCAAATCTTGTTTAAGTGCAAGCCATCCTGAGAACACTTACTTCTCCAAGAAGTAAGGCATGTTCATCTGCAGAGCGGTGTTGACTCTCTCACCAGCTCTGCTTGGCAGTCACCCCTCCTGCGCACAAATTGGCACCATGGCCAAGAGCGTAATTTTTGAGTCAGGCTCAATGAGCTAGTAAAACTGCAGGGAACCACGTGTACCCAGCCCACCACAGGACAAGGCTGCCTCTTCTCTGTCTTACCTGGGAAGTGAGAAACAGGTGGTGGAGGGCTCATCTCTCCTCCATTCGTTGCTTTCATTGATATGAAATGAAACACAAGTCCCCAGCATCTTTGCTGCATTAGATGTGCAAGGCCTTCTTCCCAAGTTTAGGGGGGGTCTGTTGATTTCCCATTAGTGAGCTTAGTTTCTGGCCTGAGCTACAGGAAATTTGATCTGTACTGATTAGGAGTGAAGCTTTATTTAGATGTAAAAATAGGTTTTGAGCTCTTCCACGGTGTACGGAGCAGCTGGACAGCAAAAATGATATTGCTTGAGGTTCTTCCACCTAGAATCCATCTTACGGAAGAGGTCTCTAAAATGTTATGGTCTTGACCCCCAATTGAAGGGGCTCACCAGTGGGATCTTGTAGACCCCTTAGCTAACTCCTTGTAGGATTCTTCATGCTATTTAGCAAACTTGAATATTTGCTTCCATATGGTCTCAGATCCCTTTTAAACATGTAGCAAAAATATATGGGGGAGATATGGTGCCTTCGTCTTCTCTGCTAGTTATGCTGCATGGTTTTTGGTGGGGCAGGAGACAGATGGAGTAAGGGGAGCAAAAGTCCATATGTATGGCCTGCTCCCTTCACAGCTTTAATTGTTCTCTGAGTTGTAGCTATGTCACGCACTTAATTCGATTATCGGGTCATAGATTTAGAGCTGGAAAGGAGCTCAAAGAAGTCATTGAGTCCAACTGCTTTTACAGATGAGGAAACCCAGGTACAGAGCTTCTAATTGCCTGATGTGAGATTTGAACCCAGAACTTTTATGTGCAAGGCAGTGTGCTTGGCTTAGCATGGTGGCTTTCAAAGTAGTCCAGGGACCTGTGGTGGGGTTCCCCAAGACCCTTTCAGGGGGACTCTGCAAGGTCAAAACTCTTCCATAATAATTCCCAGAGGTTTTAATTTTTAATATGATAAATATTGAAAGTTGAAACCTTCATAAAGAAAAGTTCTTTGAGGGCTCCTCAATGATTTTTGAAATTATAAAGGGTTCCCGAGAGCTAAAAGTTTGAGAATCAGTGGCTTAGGGGATACAAAAATGAACACAGCCCCTGCTCTCCAGGGGATTGTAATCTTATCAGAAGTGAGTGAGAAGTGACTTTTCTGAGATCTTCACAAAGAAACATGAAGGTAGAATTTGATAGTCAGAAATGAGAGATCCAGACGAAAGAGGGAACTTTGTGGAAGGTTGACTCCTTTGAGTCTCTTTGGGGTGAGGGCAGTCAGAGAAGGCTGTGAGAGGTGGTAGGTAACTCATGAGCTTAGTCTTCAAGGAAAGGAAGGCCTAGCATACGGGATGACCACACACATTCACGGTGGTGGGACAAAAGAGGGCTGTGTAGAGGGGGGCAGTGAACAAACATGTAAGTGCCTACTGTGTGCCATGGGCTGGGCTTATCAGTTTTCAAATGATCTCGTTTGAAAGAAAGAAAGATAATGGTGTCCCAAAGCAGCTTCCTTATTTGGGCAATAGTCTCTACCATGGGAGCCATTTGTTCAGGGTAGTTTTTGTTTTCATCCCATGGCATTATGATTTAGTTTTGTCTTAAGTGACACCTCACTTCTCTACCCCTTATACCCTTTAGTTCATTTACCAAGACCAGGAGAGGAGCAGGAGCCATGTCTCCCCTCTGCTCTTCCCCTTCAGTTCCCAGGGTTATGAAAAGGATGGTCTCGTGTGAACTTTAAACTAACTTTAATGATATTTTTTGATAAAGGAGGCTTCTTCTGTTATCAGTTTAACTCATTTTTTCTTAATCCCTAAACCAAGAGATGATTTTTAAAGAACATGAATTAGAAGCGAGTATGCATCCTAGGCAGCTAGATGGTACAGTGGATAGAGCTTCAAGACCAGGGTGAGGAAGACGTTCAAATCTGGCCTCAGACACTTACTAGCTGTGTGACCCTGGGCAAGTCACTGAACCCTGTTTGCCTCAGTTTCCTCATCTGTAAAGTGAGCTGGAGAAAGAAATGGCAAAGCATTCCAACATCTCTGCCAAGAAAACCCCAAATGGAGTCACAAAGAGTTAGTCATGACTGAACAGCAAATGTATCTTAGAGTTGCCTACTCAGCACATTGAGGATTTGTGAAACAGCCCTCTGGTTCCTTTCTCGTATATATTTAGAAAATATAGTTCTAAGAGGATTAAAAAAAACCCAACAAAACCATTTCCTTATAATAACTTTACGTTCCCTTAAAAACTCATAGAACTTTGTCATGGAGGAATTCTGAATTGAGAATGAAAGGTGCTTTTCAGCAGACAGTATAATACTAAGTATGGCTCTTTTTTTTTTGTATTAACCTCATACTTTTTTGGAGTATTATTGTGTCCAACTCTTGGCAAAGATAACTGGAGTGGTTTGTCATTTTCTTCTCCAGCTCATTTTATAGATGAGGAAACTGAGGCTAACAGAATTAAGTGACTTGCCCAGGCTCACATAGCTAAATGTCTGAAGTCAGATTTAAACTCGGGTCCTCCTGACTCTAGAGCGTGCACTCTATCTACTGTGCCACCCAGCTGCCCTTCCTTCAGATGACACTTGAGCTGAGCTTTTCTTGTGGTTGTTAAGTTATTTTGGTTTGCCCTTTCCTTCTTCAGCTCACTTTACAGATGAGGAAACTGAGGCAAATGTGATGAAGTGACTTGCTTAGGGTTACACAGCTAGTGGCTGGATTTGAACTCATGAAATGAGTCTTCCTGATTCCAAGCCCAGTGCTCGATACACTTTGCCACATAGTTGCCCTGCCTACTGCTAGATTACCCAGATGGAAGATTCAGTATCTTTTGTCTTTGCATTGGTTAAGGCAACATTAGATTTCCCCACCTTTTTCAGGTCAATAAATTTCGGCACTTCTGACTGATCAGATACTGGCCGAAGATAGACATAAGGGGTAATGCAAAGGCATTTTACAAGGGGAAATAGAAATATCCCATTTGATAACTCATAATGTAGAACTTGTTTGGAGGAAGTAGACAGGTGCTTTGATTACATTTGAGTAAGGGAAAATGCTTTGATTACATCTGAACATCCAAAGATTCTGAGCCAAATTGGACCAACATCAGTCAGACCTTTGACTTTTTCCAGATGTAAAATACAGCAGTTAGTGGACCAGGGGGCAGAGGAGGGGTTAACCTTGGAAAGCAAAGAGACACAGCGAGGCCTGCTAACGTGAAGCAGTGGTACTAAGTGTTTTCCAGAACAAACCAGAAGCAGCCCATCACTTTTGAAATTTAACTGAGGCAAGTCAAAGAGGTTTCCTTTTCTCCATTTAGGAAACCAGTGGGTTTATCTTTGCTCTTTCCACAGGTACTTGTGGAGAGGAGGGTTCAACTTTGATAGCATTGGTTTTTCACAAATAGGGGTCTTAACTTTTATTGTCTTCCTCAGTTTGGAACCTCTTCCCTTGACAGGTAACTGCTGGGATCTTGTTGCCTTACATACTGCCTGCCCTGGAGAACCTCCAGGAGTCAGAACATTAGAGTTGAAATGTTCTGACCCTTGGTGCGTGCAACCTTAATTTTAGCTTTTTTTCCCTACCCAAAAAAGTGGAAATGAAAGCAATAGCGGGTCACCTGTCACTGGGATGAGGTGGACATGTAAGCATAGGCCCTTTGCAAATTCAGTTATTTGCCATGAATTTACAGAAAGTCAGAAATCATCTTTTATGTAAAAAGAGTGAGCGTGTGTACAAATGTGTAGAGGTATAAATAGCTGATCTTTTGGGGGGGTAACTTTTGACCTATATTTTCTAAGCAAAGATGCTTTTTAAAGAGAGTGGTTTTGTAAAGATGGTAAGCTATATATCTCCAAGTATGTACTTTTAATATCTCTTGTTCCTACTTATTGACAGTAGATTTAATTTGCTTCTAAACTAGGGAAATAAATCTGCCTCAGAAGCCTAGTGGCCTAAAGTTCATGAACCCCTCTGTGTTGGGCAACCAAAGCCATCTCTGAGGATATTTTAGAGTACCTTACCACTTCATACACTTTTCCAGTGGGGGGGGGGAGTCAGAGAGGTCTGAGATGACCTGAAAACAAAGCGACCGGGTCACAGAAGCCACAGCTGGTGGTTATTTTCTGGGTTGGGGAAGTACTTGTTTGCTTTTTCTTAAGCTTCATCTCTTCAAGCCTTTTCTTTGGTTTCTTTTTTTCCCCTTGCCCAGGGAAGGTCGGTTTCTTTAACAACCTTTTATCGAACGGCAAGAAACATCATGAACATGTGTTTCGGTAAAGAGCCTGCCGCAGCTGAAATAGAGGTGAGGTGAATGGCCAACTCCGTAGAGGTTTGTGGGTTGCTGTGTTCCTCTTGAGGGGTGATGGGAAAAACTACATCTGCCTCTGACTTGCTTCATAATTTGGATCATCTTGAGAGGAATGCTTTTTCAGGTCCACCTTGGTGAGCTGGGTTTGTGTAAGTGGGCTTGGAGATAAGCTCTCATGTTCCACTGACCTCAGATGGGTTCCAAATTGGGAGCCAAACATGGTATAGTGAAATTCAGAATATTGTTCAGTTGGCTTCTGGTTTTTATCCATACAGTTTGGGCACGTTGGGGTTAAATGGGAAGAGTGGGAAAGTGGAGACTACAGGCTGATGTGAGGAGCAGAATTGCTTCCTCTGTCTCATGGTTAGATTTTCCCCCACATTCCATTCTCAGAGTGAATGCATCATGCAAGAGATCACTTGGAATCCCTTGATATTGTGTGTGTGTGTGTGTGTGTGTGTGTGTGTGTGTGTGTGTGTACACATACGTACACATATACTTTATGGGCCTGGCAGATTTCCATTTTTGTGCATCGGCCAAATCTGTTCTTTGAGTTAGTGTGAGTTTAAAAAGACAGTAAGCAGTCTTTCCTTATACCAATTAGGGATGTCTGTATGTTAAGCTCTTCAAGGACAGAGACCACGTCTGTTTACCTTACTTCATTGAGTGCCTAGCATGGCAAATAGGCGCTTTGTAATGCCTTTGATCATGAGGAAGTTCACTGGTACTGGGATATTATGGCTGACTTTATTAGTCGTCTAAGGGAATTACATTAGAATCTAGAATTACATTAGAATCAGAGCACTGCCTCTCCCCCAACTATTTCAGACAGTTAAAGGAAAGCACCAGGCAAGGAACTAGAGTTCATTTTGTCCTTCGTCTCTGCTTTTGAAGCAGAAAAGACTGAGAAGCATCTTTTAGTACCTTTATTATGTCTCATGCCTGGGGAGATGGCAGCTTCCTCCTTCCTCTCTAGGTGGAGGCTGAACAGGGATATGGCTTCCAATCTTGCACCTGCAATGTACTACCCATATTGTGACCTTGAGATAGTCACTTGACCTTTATGAGCTTGTTTCTTCCATCTGTTAAGTGGATGTCCTCCAAAAGTATAGTGTCTCTAAGGTGACTTCTACATGCACCTCTTATGGTCCTCAACCCTAGATATTCCATATCCAGTAGGAATTAAGTGTGCTACAGTTTTGGCTTTGGCACTGGTTTTAAATTCAGGGTTTTTGCATGAAAACTTGAAAATTATTCCCACAAATGAGCTTTTCAGAGGTTAAAAAACAAAACAAAACCATGTTGGCTGAGAAGACATTGGATAGCATTTCCCTGTTTCCAGTGCCTGTCACAGGGATGATGTAACTAATGGCATCAGCTTATTTTTCATTTTAAAAAAAGAAGTAGCCAAATAAAGTCTTTTAACTGTTGCCTGAATATTTGGATGCCAGCCGGTTTCTTTAAGACAGGGCACCTGGGCCACACTCCCAGTTTGCTTTTCACTTTGGCCTTATGTGCAATTGAGGTTATGAGAATGCCTTTTGAATGCCACACAATTTGGGCCCCGTCTGTGTCTTGGGACACAAATCCATGTTCCCCATTCTTGGCACTGAGGGTGCCATACGGCTCTGGTTAGTAAGCTGGAGCTTATACTGCCTCACGCCCCATCAACCAAATTGTCAATTGAGTCCTGATTCTGGAACACATATGGCTGGTGAGAGAGGGAGAGTTAACGCCATCACAGCTCATCTTTCAGATCTCAGGTGGCATTTGTGGTGCTGATGTTGGGGTGGGGGTGGGGGAAGTAATTGAGATTTGTTAGCACTGCAAATTTGAGTGGCAAGTCATTGTGTTTGAGGGGTTGGAGGTGGAATTAGGATAACAGTGAAATCATTTAATGGTGTTGATGGGGGAGGAATTGCATTAAAACCCACAATACTGATGTTTAAGAATTAAGAATGGTGGCTTACGGGTCGTTCTCCTTGTTTTTTGGGGTTTTTTTTCCCCCTCTCCAACCTGCCCACTTTACTTGGAAAGTAGAGGATGTAAGAGATACTAAAACAGTTTTAGTCTGCATCCTTTCAACTTGTGTGTGTCTTGGCTTTTCCAGGGAGTCGAGTTTTTTTCTTGGCTCCAAATTTCTAGAGATGTCGGGGCAGCTAGATGGTGCAGTGGATAGAGCACCAGCCCTGAAGTCAGGAGGACCTGAGTTCAAATCTGGCCTCAGACCAAACACTTGACACGTACTAGGTGTGTGACCCTGGGCAAGTCACTTAACCCCAAATGCCTAAAAAGTAAAAACAAAAAACCCCAACAAATTTCTAGAATATCTACTACTTTTAAAATTAATCTTTATTGATGACTTTCCTTTTTATATCACTTATGTTTCCCCCTTTATTCTCCCCAGTACCCCTTCCCAAAGTGCCATTTACAACAGAGAATAAAAAGAATAAGGCCAAAAAAAAATTCAGTAGTGTTGATAGTTATATGTGATGTTCCATACCCATATATCAATCTCTACCACTTTTAACACTGACTGGAGTCTTTATCTCCTGCCTCCATTTTAATTCAGAACAAAGCAATATTGTTGATTATAATGCAATTTCTCCCCCCTCAACCATAGCATTAAATGGTTTCACAATGATCCTGTCCCACCCCCATACCACCCAGGTATGTGGGTACCAAGACTTGGGAACGTACAGCATCGGAAAATTTGGGTGAGGAAACCTGCCATTATTAGAACTGATTCAGTTTGAATCAAGTTCAGGTTTCTACTATATTCTGTATGTCTCATACAATGAATTTGGATCTTTAAGGAAAAAAGTGCTGATGTCTATTTTGCCAAATAAAAGATACTCTTTAATAAATAACCCTACAAATCCCCATTCTGCAAGATACATTTTATGAAGCAGCCAAGCCAAAGAACACATCACTTTCCACTTTGACTCTAGTGGCTTTTTACTTAGTTCTCCCTCTTTTTTTTTCTTTAAATTCTGTAAAACTAATTAACATATCACGTACTTCTAATATTATATGCAGCATTCTATACCTCTGTTCCCTCACCTCTACGAAGAGTTAGGAGGCACTTTCTTTACTTTTCTGTGAAAGCTATTTTGTCATTTTCATGCTGCAGCATTATTTTTAATTCTTGGTTTTTTTCCCATTTCTGTTATTGTAATTATTGTATGTTACATTTTCTTGGTTTTATTTACTTCACTTTCCATTTGTTCGCACAAGTCTTTCCAGGCCTCTCTGTATTCATCCACTTCATTATTTCTTTCCTTCTTTCTTTCTTTCTTTTTTTTTTTTTTTTGCTTTTAGGCAATTGGGGTTAAGTGACTTGCCCAGGGTCACACAGCTAGTACGTGTCAAGTGTTTGGTCTGAGGCTGGATTTGAACTCAGGTCCTCCTGACTTCAGGGCCGGTGCTCTATCCACTCCGCCACCTAGCTGCCCCTCACTTCGTTATTTCTTAAGTCATGTTAATATTCCATTATGTTCACATACCATAATTTTTTTAGCCCTTCCCCAATTAATGGACATTTACTTGGTTTCTTTGCTACCATTGAAAGTGTTGCTCTAAATATTTTGTCTTCTCTTTAACAAGATATTCATGCACTTGACACTATTAAAATGACTTTAAGTTCAATTTTACATTGCAGTATCAAGTTTAAATTATAGTCACTTCCATAAAGGGCATTAACATCTAGCAGATGCATTTGATATTTTCATCCTATATTATCTTGCCAAGTTTATGGAAGGTGATGTTGATCCTCTGGCATGATAATTTCAAACAAACAAAAAAAGTCAAATGTGGGGAAAACTGAACATACACCTCAAAGATGGTGTGTTTAGCATCTCTCTTCCATTAGGATAGTGCTTCATACTCATTAATATATGGAGTATGTGCTGGGTTATGTTCTTCACAGATGATTATCTGAGGGCTTTGTGATTGACCATCAACTGATGTCTCTATTATATACATATATTTTTAGATTTTGTATCAAAAAATGTAAGGTTTGGCATTTTTGCTTTGAATTTAGGAGCCAATTACTTGTTCTACTTTCAAAGAAGCACAGAAGGAAAAAACAGTGTCATGTTATTATCAGCCATTGGTTTCTCACACAGACCAGCCCACAAATTATAATTATCTCAAATCTGCAGAAGGATTTCACGGGATCTCCTGTAAAGCCTCAGGGAGGGACCACTAGGGCAGGGAACCTCTGGGCTCTTGGACAGCATGAGTATAAGTAGCAGCCCCAGTAATTCAGCCCTCATCAAGCACTTGAAGGAAGTAGAATATGAGCCTAAACTGGATCAGGCAAAATTTCCAGAGGAGCTTTGTGTCATCATAAAAGCAAAATGTGAAAAGTTGTACAAGATGAGGCTGTGTAATGTTTGCCGATCCATTGTTATGGAGATCTTAAATGTAAAATTGCTTTTAAAATGTTCTCTGATGATCAGACATGCAAGGCCTATGTTGGAAGTAAAGTGTTAATTCTGTATATGTCAAAACAAGCAAACCAATAAATCCGCCATGTAAAATACAAATACTGAGCTACTAATCTAGCTGTCTTTTTCTGTTCTCTTATAAGGAAATAACAACAACAAAAAAAAACTCCTGGATCTGTTCCTGTGGGCCATCTTTGACATTCTGAATGTTACTGCACAGCTTCCATGCACTGCTTGTGCCCCCCTCACACTTTCCTCTGTTTCTGTTTTTGCTTGCAGCAAGAGTACTGGAAGTTAGTGGAACAAAAAGAATGCCATGTAGCAGTGCATTGTGGGAAAGTGGATACCAACACGCATGGAAGTGGATTCCCAGTGGGAAAATCAGAACCATTTTCAAGGTGCAGTTAAGTTTTCTTCCTGTGTTATTCTGATGCAATTTTAAGACTGTTCTGTATCCTGAAGCTTGTCCCAAGGCAAGCACTTTTCTCATGCTCTAGTGGAGCGTAGGCTCCATGAGGGTGGGAAATGCTTTTTCCTTGTCTTTGTGTCCCCAGCACCTGGATATGGTGCCTTGCCCATAAACAGATATGGGAAGGACTGGTGACTTCATCGAAGTGGGGGCCTCCCAGTGTGGGAACTCCTTCTGCTGTCGCAGATAACTCACCTAGGGTGTGTAGTACCTAAATCTTAGTGAGCTGAAGTATTGGCAAATACAAAAAATTGAGGAGTTCGGTCTTCTTGAGTCCAAACCCAGGATCTAACCCCTCTGTTATGTTGCCTGGAACACAGTTCATGCCTGTTAACAAGTGCTTTTGAAGTGACTGGCCTGGAAGAAGGCTGGACGGCCTGGAGCTTTTAGGTTTCTGTAAAAACCCTGGTGTACACATTTGACTTGATCTCTGTGATTTCCTTGGACAGGCATGGGTGGAATCTGACAGTCCTTCCCAATAATACAGGCTCCATCCTGCGTCACCTTGGTGCTGTTCCTGGTAAGCTAGATTCCTTTCTTGATGTTGTTTGGGCTGTGTCTGCCGTCGGGGCAGCCCTCCAGTAGGCTCTCCCAGCTTGACATGGAGAACAGCTGTGCTTCCACAATGAAGTGTTCCCACAGCGGAGAGAAGTCTATCCAAAGGCCGATCTAAATAAATTATTAAGGGGGTAGAGGGATAACATTTAGAGAGCTGACCTTAAAAGTATTGCCACAGATTCTACTGACAACGGGGGGAGGAGGAGGGATTTGATGAAAATGTATAAATTAATGAAGCATGAGGTATGGATGGGAGCTTGTACCTGAAATTGTTTATCAAATCCTGAAATTCTAGAACTCTTGGAGAAATGGAGGTTGGGAAATACTTTAAAGCAGGGATTTTTTTTAAACCAGGGATTGGAGTGAGTGGGAGGTGGGGGTGTATCTGTGAACTTAAAAAAAAAACCTCAAAACCTTTTGTTCCTTGATGATTGTATTTTATTGTAATCCTATGCATTTTATTTTTTGCATTAAAAAAAAATTGAAGAGTCCGTTGGCTTTATCTGACCGCCCAAGGATTCATTAAAAAAAAAAAGGTTGAGAACCTTTGCTTTAAAAATTGAAATGGGTATTTTAAGATGAAACCAAGGTAGTGTGTTCTCTTTTTTATATACATACATACATACGTATATATACACACACACACAAACACACACACACCCCTATATACACATACACATGTACATACATACACGTGTGTGTGTGTGTAATTTCTCTACTTCATAAAAAAGTAGTTTTTCTGACTGATTCCCCACCCCCTTCTTCCTTCCCCATTATTTACTTTTTCTTTTCTTTCTCTCAGAAGCATAGTGTAACTTGTTTGTTGTTACCATGACACATTTCCTCTTATTCTAAATGATGTTTTTTGAATGTCTTTTGTCTACATCTAAGTCACTTCTCACCCTTTCTCATGGCAAAACAAAGCGGGGAGAGTCCTGTTGCAGCAAGAAACCTTGTCTGATACTGTACAGTGTTTTGTCCCAGTATTCCCCCCAACTCACTGTGAAATTTTATGGCAATTCATATAAAGATTTATTTCCAACCCTTATGTTTTAGGAGTGACAATTCCCTGGCTAAATATTGGCATGGTCTTTTCTACCTCATGCTGGTCTCGAGACCAAAATCACCTTCCATACATTGACTACTTACACACTGGTGCTGATTGTATTTGGTGAGTATATCTGGCCCCTGCCTCCCCTATTTTTCTGTAGCCTTCTGTGGGCTCTGGGCAGCATAGCACATCTTACCCTCCGAAGCGTCTGACATGCAGGTTCATCTGTGCAGGAGGTTTCCTAGTGAGTAGATCTCTACCTTACTTTAGGTTTGATTCTTCATATTATATCTGTGGTCTCCCAGCACCATTCTGACACCTCATCAGGTAGCTGAGCTGGAGTTTTGGGGGCTGAGATAGATTTTTGTATCCTATTATAAATCTCCATAGATTTAGAACCATAGAGATGAGTTCTCTGTATATTTCGTTGGAGTAGATGGGTGAGCCTGGGTTAAGAACTTCTGATTGTTTCCCTTTCTTTTCTTTGTGCTGCTTGGTCTTCAGAGATCTGCTTTTAAGGTCTTAAAAGGTCTGCAGGCGAAGCAGACCCCAGAAGAGCTGTATTTCAGTAGTAGCGAAGTTTCCTATGTCTTTAATGGTGCTACAACATAAAAGTATGAAAACACACTCTCCAGCAGTTGGCATTCTCCTTACCCACTAGATGGTTGCTGTCTTGTAGAAATAGGTTAGTGGCTATTTTTTAGCGTGGTTTTTAAGAGCCCAGTTCTTTGTAGCCCTGGTGCAGTGATTGCCCAGAGTTTACTTAATTCTTGGTCCTGGGGAACCTCTGTTTCTTACTTAGAAGAGGTGAGTGTGTTCCCAGCATTGCCCCACCAGCCCACCCAGGTGTTTGTGTGGCTGCACGTTCAGAGTCTCCGTCACTGGCTGCTGTCATCATTCAGGGTCTGCCACGATGAATGCTGAGGAGGAGGTTTGGGCTTTTGCTTGTGTGTTTGTTCATCAGTGGCAGATGGAAAATCATTGCAGATAGGTGTTTTTAATATATGCGCGTGCCCTGTGCCGTCTTATATTCTTACCGTTGACCAGTCTACACATTGTTCCACGGGAACTATGTTATCTTAATGGGCTGATTAAACAGTCTTTAAAAACAAACAAACAAAACTAAAAGTAATCTTCCAAGGAGCTAGTGTCTCTGGGAAATCATTTTCCTACTTTTCCTTATGGGGCTGCATCAATATAGAGTCAGATGACATGGGAGCCAGGGACATTTTCAGAAGACAGTATAGAACCACCCTTTGGCCTTCTACAGCTGAGAAAGGAAAAAAAGAAAGATGTGATCAGAGTATTTTATGGCGTGTGGTTTTGCTTGAAACATGTGATTTTGGTTAGAAACATGATGTTTAAATCACAGATCAGTAACAGAAAATGTTGGAGTTAAAATAACATTAAAAAAAAGTTTAAGCACGGCGACTGGATACTCTCTTCACTCAGCAACTGAAACTGAATAGGACCCTTATGAATAATGATGTCATCACAAGCACCTAAGAATGGCTCAGGTCGGCAGGTTGCCACATGGCCCTTTTAAAACTTGGAATCTGTCAGAAAGGCCTGTCCAGTGAGTGGGTTAAAAGAAGAGAATCCAAAACCTAGTGTAAGCATTACACGTTTTCTTCCTTGAATCTCAGAAGCTGTTGAAGTGTCCTGAAAGGGACCTGGGGAGACAAGAAATGGACTTTCTGACGAGGGCCATGGTCCTTCTACTTGGCGGGCCCAGCAGCAGTTCCATTTGCTTCGGCTTAATCCGCTATCTAAAAGCACAGCCACTGTCAAAGTAGACAGCAGGTTTCTTTCCTGTGTTGGGGCCGCACTCCTTTTCCCATCGGGAGCCAGTGCAAATAGATCTTTGTACCCCAACGCTCCTCAGCCTGTTCCTGCTGATGCTCTGGGTGTGGTGATGTTTTTATTTGAGGCTTATTAACATTCCTTGTTCAAGTTCACCCTTTCACCTCTGCCTCTGCTGTGGGGGTGGGGGGTGTTTCCATTCTTTCAAAACAAAACATTAGAAAGTTTTGAGGTTTTTGTTTTGGTTATTTTTGTTGTGTTCAGAATTTACAAAGCAAAAAGTGTCATATTGGTGATTTACAACAATTTAGAGACTGGCTGCTGGACAGAGCGCTTCATCATCATAAAGGGAATGGGCATCTGTGTACAAAGAGTGAATTGTTAGCACAAGGCTTGTTCTGGTGACACCTCTCTGCAGTGGTCAATGACTTTGTTCTGTGAAGTTTCACAGCTTCATAACTGAAGCATAACTCAGCATTCAAGGCCCTCTGCAGTCTGACTCTGCAGCATTTTCTCTCATTACTCCCATATAGAAAACCTCTGTGTTATTACTTATTACCTTTATATACCATGTACATTCTGTTGAGGTGGCACAGTAGATAAGGTGCTGGATTGTGGAATCAGGAAGACCTGAACTCACATTAGGCCTCAGACACTTAGTAGGTTTGTCACTTGGAGGAAATCATTTAACTTTTGCCTGCCTCAGTTTCCTTAGCTGTAAAATGGGGATGATAATAATAGTACCTAGCTCCCAAGGTTTTTGTGAGAATCAAATGAGATACTTGTAAAGTGCTTTGCAAACCTGGAATGCTATAAAGTGCTGTTACACTCAGATCATGATATTATTATCTCTGCACTTCTGGATATGCTGTTTATACCTGAAATTCCTATCTTCAAGGCCCCCATTTAGCCTTTCCCAGCCCCGGTAGCCATAGCAGTCTTCTTTCCTCCAAACTCTTGTAGTCTTCCTTGTGTCCATCACCAGTTTGGCACAATCAGATTGTTTATAGTTACTTCTAATGTCTCTTTCCTTTTTCCCTAAATAGATTATTGGTCTCTTGCCTGTGAGGATGTAAGTGTAGACTGGAGGTTTCAAACAGGCCAAATGTAATTGAGAAATGCTTTTAAAAATACAACATAGGTAATGTTAATTTGTGGTTTTCTAAGTCAATATGGGCCCTCAGGGCTCTGTTTCTATTTCAGTTTGACACCACTGTTGTTTGCCTATACACAAAATGCTTTACACATACTTTTAATTTTTTGAGCTGCAGTAGGAAGTGGGGGGGGGGTTTCCTCCCACACTTTGAGAGTTCACGGTCTTGTTCCGTTTTCTTTTAGCCAGAAAGGTGTGTCTCCCACAGAGCCTTCTCATAAGTTTTTATTTGCTAGGCTCTCTTTACTTTTCCCTGGAACTGCATCTCATTCTCTCTGACAACACTCTTACTACTTTCCCTACCCAAGTTTTAGAGGGGAAAAGTGAGTTTTAGAGCTTAGAGCAAGATAGAAATGCGATTTAATTGAAATACAGTGTAATGTTGTGGAAAGACTGCTGAGCTCAGAGACCAGGGTCCTTGTCTCTCAGCAATGGCCCTTTTCAAGCTGTGAGACCATAGATGAGTACTGACCTCCCTTTCTCCATCATAGAAGGAGGTGAGAGAAATTTGAATAAAGGGTCTATCTTACTGTTGGTTGTTGCCTGGAAAATGCCTTTTATTTTGAATATAAAATCTGAAAGCATAATAATATGAATTGTGCGTTTCCTTCTTTTTGACAAAACCCCCTCAGAGATATTCCTAAGCTGTGTAGGCTGATCTTTCACGAACTCCTATTTGTGGCATTTCAGAGCTTCCTCAGATCTAATTGGAGTTGGCCCCAGGAGTTAATCCTGGATGGGATGGTGAGGCACCTTGAGTTTTCCATATATGACAGCCCCACCCCTGGACCACTTGCCTTCTCTTAAGTGTTTGTGATCTCATCTATTGCAGGCAAAGCCTAGAACTTTGAGCCTGGGCTTAGCCAAGAACTGAAGGAGGTAGAATTGGAGAGTTTACAGAGGCTGCTTGAACCTACGGATGTGTCTGTTTCTGATTTATAGGCGTTTTTTAACATCTGTTTTGAGTTTGAAAGCTTTTTGGCTTGCAGTGTGGGTCAGATATACATAAAAGATGAGCAATTGGAATCACTCGTGGGGCTGTGGCTTGGCTGAGTGCTTGGTGGAAGCCACTGAGATAGTCCTCTGGGAATTTATGGCATTGCTGTGTGAAATGGGCCTGGGAGCTACGAGAATGAATTACCCAATCCTATATTTTGTGGATCATGTGTAGCTCAGCTCATACATCTGACTGTAGCATTGTGTCCAAACAGTCCCCCTGCTCCCTGTGTTTTGAGGCAACTTTCCAGAAGAACTTGTTTTTGATTTCTTGTCTATACATTCAGCACAGGATAAATGGGGCTGGGCCTTGGGACAAAAGTTTGGGAATGCCAATTAAATGCTGTGATAAAGTCTTTTCTCTCTCTCTCTCTCTCTCTCTCTCTCTCTCTCTCTCTCTCTGTCTCTCTCTCTCTGTCTCTCTGTCTCTCTCTCTCTCTCTCTCTCTCTCTCTCTCTCTCTCTCCCTGTCTCTCCCTGTCTCTCCCTGTCTCTCTGTCCCTTTCACTCTCTCTCTCAGGTATTGCATTCCTGCTGAGGAAGAGAACAAACTCGAAGACGTGGTACATACCCTGTTGCAAGCCAATGGCACACCAGGGCTGGAAATGCTTGAAAGTAACGTAATGGTACGTGCTATCCCCACAAAATATTCCTTTTTTTTGTACTGGGGGAGATGTTAGGTCTTTATTAAATTCACAGTTTTTGTTTTAAATTTCTCTCTCAAAAACAAATGAGAGTACAAAACTGCTAAAACCTCAAGGTCCAAAACAAAAGTGTCCTTTGGAATGAAGGAAAAATAAGCAAGCAGAAGGATTTCTCTCTTGTTGCACGAGACAAAAGACTGACTTGTGTCAAGGGGATCCTTTCGAAAACTTGGGAATTGAAGGTTCTTGGTTTCATATTTCTCTTATTTTGTAAACCTTGGCAGTTAAAGTACCTGGTCGTTCTCTGTAAGGCTGTTTAGGGTTGAGTTTTCTGACCAGCTTCATTAACTGCATTTTACTCCCATCTGCCTTTCTCTTCTGTTCTCCTCTCTGTCATACCCAGGTACTTGTGCTGTAGGTGTTAGGTAGTACATCAGTGAATAATGCTGGGTTGGGGGCATAGAGGAAGATGCCAGGGGACTGATGATTTTCCCTTTTAACCCATTTCCAGAAAGCAGTAGGGGATGATGATGAGTTTTTACTACTTTTCCTGATAACTTCTGTTGCAAGTCTTGCTTCCTAAACTTATTTCCATTCTTCCTGATTTCAGAGGGGGAACTTTCCTAAGATGGGGAATACTGAAGAGAACCCTACCTTGTTCTCTAAAGCTACTGCCTCCTGTGCAAGAAGGCCACTTGGCCAGCCAGGTTCATTCATGCCCTGGTACAGAACTTTTTTTTTTGTCACACACCTAGTGTGAGGAAAAACACATAGTGAGGGAACTGGTGCGTCACCTCTCCAGGCCGCGAGCCAGTGTTGTCCGAGAGATCTTTGGGTGGAATAGATACATGAGGAAATCTTTGGATCCCCAGACAGAGCAGAATTATGGAGGGGCAGCATGGGATGTGAGTGGGATTTTGGAGAATCAGGGTCCAAGGAAAGTCAGATTTTGATATCCCTTTATATTTGTTTTGGTGAACTGAATTAAACGCATAAACTTGCAAACAGTACAGACTTTAACAGGTAGAATGGAAGTAGTCTTCATTCTGGTACCTTCGCTTTGTTAATTATTTCCTATTTATGCTCCGATAGCTTGCTTTGTATATATTTGTTGGTATGTTGTCTTCCTCTTTTAGGTTGTAAGCTCCTTGAGGGCAGGTCTTTTTGTATCCCCAGTGCTTTGCACAGTGTCTGGCACATAGTAGCTGCTTAGTAAATGTTGATTGATTGATATTTGTTGCCATCCTTAAGCCTGTAGCAGTAAAACCTTACTGGCATTTTGAGAAAATTTGTTTTCTTAAAATAAGAAACCAAAATTTTCTCTCTAAACTGTAACCCACTGAGGCCTTTGGAGGACTACAGGTCTTCTCCATTCTCTCTCCTCTAGGCAGAGGCAAGGGCTGCTCTCCACACTACCCCCTAAGGAGATATGATAGGTATCCATTTTTAAAGACCTCCTGGGAAGTAGATTTCACTCCTGAGCCACCTTGGTTTTCCTCTCCCTGTCAGAGGTTGAAAGTCATCATTAGCATTTTAAAGAAGCGTCCCAGAAGATTCACTCAGACTGGCCACCAGTGTTTGCTTTGTTAGCCCAGCCTGGTGAGAATAACTTTGTTTCAGGGAGTTACATGCCTTCTCTCATTTTTTTCCTCCCTCCCTCTCTCCCTTCCTTCTTGAAGAAATCTTCACTGCTTTCCTCTTTGCTTCTCCCTAGATCTCCCCAGAGGTGCTGTGCAAAGAGGGGATCAAGGTGCACCGTACTGTACAGCAAAGCGGCCAGTTCGTCGTCTGTTTTCCAGGCTCCTTTGTGTCCAAAGTGTGCTGTGGCTACAGTGTTTCTGAAACTGTGCACTTTGCTACCACCCAGTGGACAAGTATGGGTTTTGAAACGGCCAAGGTACAGAGTGACGCTTAAAATGGACTCACGACCAGATTCTCTTATCTGTTCCTCTCGTTTTTCTTCCCCTCCGTATGTGTATTTATATGCAGGTCAATATCCCCTCAAATACTATGGAAGACTTCAAACTAACCATTCTCCCAAAAGAAGATTCTTTTGCGCATTTAAAAAAAAGAAGAAGAAAACAAGATTCTTTGGGTTCTAGAACCCTGGCTTCTCTTGGTTTAAGGCTGAATTCTTGGTATAACTTAAGCACCATGTAGTTTGAAGAGACCACAGTGTTATAATGATTATGTTGCAGCCTCTCAAATCATCTCTTAAGATAAATACAAAATGCTGTCTTTGGCATTGAAAGCTCTTTATAAGCCAGACCCCTCTTGCCTTGCCATCCTTCTTACACCCTACTCCCTGACACGTACTCTTTTGATCCGGGGACACTGGCCTCTGGGTGTTCCACTAGTAAGACATTCCATCGATCTGCTGCAGGCATTCTCTCTGGCTAGAAGCACTCTCTATTCTCTGCTCTGCAGAGTGGCCTTCCTGGCTTCCTTTAAGTCCCAACTAGAACCCCATCTTTTACAGGAAGCCTTTCCTAACCCCTCTTAATTCCAGTGCCTTCCTGCTGTTAAACATGTCCTGTTTATCCTGTATGTAGCTTGCTTTGTGTTTATTTGTGTGCTTCTTGTCTTCCCCATTTGATTGTGAGCTCCTTGAGGGCAGGAACTGTGTTTTGCCTATTTTGTATCTCCAGCACTTAGCATAGTGCCTGGTGCATAGCAGGTGCTTAATAAATATTGATGGACTGATTGATCCTCAGGGAACAATCTGTGGGAAAGCCTTTTCGTGTTTGATATTTTAGTATTTTAGAGCAGTAGTAGTAGGCTTCTGCAGTGATGTGGTTTTACAAAACTAAAGCATAGGTCTATTAATTCTAGGTCATATTCTTTCCCACTGGAAATGTTCATTTGAAAAATTAAATCTATCCCTTTTTAATTCTTTACATTAACCCCAATTGCACTTCTAGTTTGTATTTCTGCCAATTCACTTTAAATAAAAAGTCCCATTATCCCTAAATCTTTCCTGCCATATTTAAAGTACCCTTTTCCTTTAAAAAATCAAAAAACAAAAAAAAAACCAAAAACACCACCCTGCAACTCCAAAAATCACACCATATAAACTGATACAGACCCATATTTACCCAATTGTTTCTTTTAGGAGATGAAGCGTCGCCACATAGCCAAGCCATTCTCAATGGAGAAGTTACTCTACCAGATTGCAACAGCAGAAGCAAAAAAGGAAAATGGTCCCACCCTCAGTACCATCTCCGCCCTTCTGGATGAGCTCAGGTAACCTCGCCGGGAGGGTCTTCTCCTTTGCCTCTGGAGTCCCTTAGAGTGGTGCAGGGGCTAGAGGGCGATGAGTGACGTGCCAGTTGATCCGAAGCATGTGAGCTGCTGTGGGGCCAGCCTTCCTGCAGCACAGCTGTATGAGGGCACCAACCCCACCTAGAGTGTGCCAGAAGCCAAGATTCCTTCATGTGTGAAATCCCTGACTCCTGATACCATCAGGACACCATTGGAACACCAAGGTTGGCCTTGGGGGTTTGTTCCCAAGGTGATGATAGATTTTTACTGTGATGGAACTCTTTTTTTCCTCTTTCCTTTTTCTTTTTGGCGGTAGGAGTCAGAATTTCCTGATAGCACCCAAGATGTTAATCCTCTATGAAGGAATGAATGGAATGTTGGCCCTTAACCCCTTGGCACCACTAGGCTTTGGCACTCTTGTTTATGATGGATATTTCAAAAGGGGAAAGAGATGCATGGCATCAAGGGGTCAGCACTGTGTGTAGTAGAAAGTGAAAAAATCCTAGGGAAGGTGAACAGACCTCATGGTTATGCCTGTGTCTGCAAAATGCTGGGCCACTTGTCCTGACATTAACACACCCTGCACGGTTTGTGCTCATACCAACTCCTGGTGATCTGACTCAGCTTTCTTATGCCACAGTGGAATAAGGGGCTCCCTTTGGAGTTGCACAGTTAAGGCTGAGCAAATCCAAAGGGCAGACATTAAAGTTAAATAAATCAGGTGAGAATGTGACTGTGTTGCTTGGCTTCCTGTGTAACCCTTTTCTCTTTTCCCCTACTATGTAGCATCGCTGTCTCTCTCTCAAGGGGGAGACACAGCTGGTTAGTGCTGATCGGTAGACAATGGATTTGGACAGGTGTCAAGCGAACATTTGCTGATGAAATCTACAAATAGTTTGTTAAATCCAAGCATTGATATGAAGTTAAAAAGGAGGAAGGGAAAAAAAACCCTAACTTATTTGTACATGTGTTTATTAAATGTTGTGTTAGAGCAAATCAGGTTTATCATATTAACTTTGAAAGCTTGGGGGAAAAGACAGGCCACTTGACTGAATGAGGACTTTCTAATGGATGTGTGGCTTTCTCTTATTTTTGGACAGGGATACAGAGCTTAGGCAACGAAGGCAGCTTTTCGAAGCAGGCCTCCATTCGTCCGCACGCTATGGCAGCCATGACAGCAACAGCTCAGTGACGGATGGGAAGAAAAAGCCTCGAAAGTGGCTGCAGTTAGAGACGTCAGAGAGGCGGTGTCAGATCTGTCAGCACCTGTGCTACCTTTCCATGGTGAGGACGCCAGCCCCAGGCATCCCCAGCCTTCATTTCTCCCTGGCTGCTGAGCTCTGGGCTGCTGGTGTCCTCTGCTGATTTCATGGTTTGGAATCTTAAACTACCAATCCTTTCGTTCCTTTCTCATTGACTCAAGTTTGCATATTTCTGGGGCTCTGAGCTAGACCTTTCCTCACCTTAAATCACTCTCATTTCTTCCACTGTAGATAACCTTACCTTCTACTTTACTAGTAACTTAGTGGCCAGTCAACAAGTTTATTCAACTTCTTTTTGGTCTTAAAAGGTGGCATTTTCCTTCTCTCAGGTGACCTTGCTTCATCAGTCACAAAAATGGTGAGCTCCCCTTCATGTAAATGTTCAATCAGCAGGTGCATGTTGGCCTATTAGGGACATTGTTATAGGGGATTTCTGTGTTGGTTTAGAAGCTGGCCCTGATGACAGTCTCCTTTGGCTCTTGAGATTCTGTCATTTTTCCAATCAGTAAATATAATGGTCTATTCTCTGTCCTCATCCTCCTGAATCTTGGTAGAACTTGACACTGACTGCCTCTTATTGAAATTTCCTTCCCTTGGTGCCTGGCTTTCTCCTTCTCTGTTCCCTTATTCTTTGCCATCCTGGTTTCTTTTCTTTTTTTCTTTCATGTTGCTAAGGAGTCAGCTTTTGGGGGTTGTGTGTGTTATGTGTGTGTATATATCTGTGCATGCACATGCACATGCTCTATCCTTTCTCTAGCAAGCAGCTAGTCCTGTATTGCCAGCATTTCATGCAGCTGATTGCCAAGCCTGTGTCTTAAGCTCTAGCCTTTTTTCTCAGCTACACTCCCATTTCTTGAATGGCCTGCATTTCCAGTTCATCAGTATCCTTACAACTGCACAAATCTGATTGGTAATTCTATCTCTGCCTCGATTTGTAACAATAGCCCACATTTCTCTAGTGCTTCTAAGGGCTTTCTTCACAACAAGTAAACAGGTGCTTTCCTCTGGGAGGGTAGGTGGTTGAAAAACTTAGCATTCCTATTGTACAGATAAGGAAATTGTGATGTAGAAGGTGTAAGTGACCTCTGAGGGCAAATAAGGAGGAAGTAGAGACAGTGGACTTGAACCCATGGCTTGTACCTCTAAGCCCAGTGAGCTTTCTAGTACATCACTCTCTGTGCCTTTTAACTTTTTAGGCTGGTTAGGTAAGGAATTGATTCCTTCATTTGAAGAGATGAGGGAAAAGTGCTTTGCCTTCCACATCTCTCAATTCTCCCATTTCTTCTCGAACTTCTTGGTTGAAACATTAGGAAAACGGGAGGAGCTGGTGATTTTTAATCAGTCCATGTTCAGTGGGGCCTAACAAAGGGCTAATAGGTATCTTTGAAGAGTCAGATGAGACTTTGGGATGAGCTTGTAATATCCAGATAGTAGATGAGGGTATATCCTTTAACCTTCTGGTTCAGTCGATCTAAGCCTTTTTAGCGTAGGAAGACATATCATGGCTCATCTTGTGGAGTAAAACTTAGATCAAACGCAAATAGAAACAGATGCCGCCAACCATCTATTGACTTGGAAAGCCATAAATTCACATTATTTTCAATTTTGTTACACATTTCCCAATCAGATTTCAAAGTGGTTCCATATTGCACATGCAATATGTATGTGCATGTGTCATGTGTATGAGTGAGTGTGACAAATGGATTATTTTAAAAATCATTGCCAGGGGCATAATTTCTTTTGGGATACCTAGAATCTAACCCTTTCTGTTCCTGGCAACTTTTTTCCTCAAATCTCAGAACTGGACAAGAACCATAAATGGTCATTTAGGCTGATCCATTTCTGAATGATAATCCCCTCTAAAATATTCACAGGAGTTCATCAGACCTCAGTCTGAGATAACTTACTGCTTCCTAAAGCAGCGTGTACCACTTTGGCCACCTCTAATTGTTTGGAATTTTTGCCTTTGATTACCCATGATTTTGCCTCTTGGAGACTTCAGTCTATTGATTCTAGCAAAAAAAAAAAAAGGATAAAAAATGGTCCACATGGTCATCTTTCAAACTTTTGAGGATGGTTTGTGTTTTTTCTAAACCTTTTCTTTTCAGGGTTATGTATCCTCAGGTTTGTCAACCAGTCCTTAAATGGCATGATTTCCTCTGAATGTACTGAAATGTAATGCTCAAAACTAATAGTGATGTTGCAGGTGCATCCTAATCAGGGCGGAATGTGATGGGTCTTCTGCCTACTCCATGCCTCTGTTATAATACATCCTCAGATTGCATTATTGTTTTGGGATAATTATGACATAGTTTTGAACACATGATTTATAGCTTTATGTAACTCACTCAGAAGTCAGGTGTTTTTGTTTTGTTTGTTTTTTCATATAGTCTGTTTTTAGACAAGTTTTTCACGTAGTCTGTTTTTAGACAAGTTTTTCTGTATGCCATTGATCTTTTTCCTCTTGAACCCAAGTATAAGGTTTTATATTCATCCATATTAAATTTTATCTTAATAGATTTGGCCCGTTTTTCTAACCTGTTACTTTTAGGAAGTCCCAGTTGTTATTCAAAATACTAATTATCTTCCTATTCATCTAGAAAATAATATGTATTTCCTTAATATATCAAATCATTAATTTAAAATGCTAACAAGAACAGGGCCAAGGAGAGAGGGGTTTAAACATATGCATGCAGTCTTGTAAAAAAAATCCTGCTTGCATGTGAGCTTTCCTAGACAAAAGTCACCAGTCTTCTGAGGATTACCTCCAATGATAAAATATAAAAGTCACATTGATTTCATCAAAGGAGCTGATGTCCAGGGACCTGTGGGCTTCATTGCAGTCCTTTGGAGATGATGCCCAGGACAGTGTAAGAAATTTTTTTTTCCAGTTTAAAATAACTCCTGGGTATTATCGCCTTCCATTTGGAATTGAACCCAGCTTACAGGATGATTTGGCACCCACTGCAGTGCCTTGCATGTAGTAGGTACTCAGTTTGTTGACTGAATACTTGTCATGATGGGCATGGATAGAAAACAAGCAGTAAGTTGGCAGTTAAACTTCTTGGGAAGGTCTGGGGCTAGCATTCTTCTTTCCTTGCGTGTTACACAAACGCTCTGCACTCATTCATCCTGCACCTTCCTAAGATGGGGAAATGGTTTGGGAATGGGGTTGGAAGGAGTGGACAAGGGAATAAATTGTAAGTCAGTGTGGTATGAATGATAGGATTATAGATTTAGAGCAGATAGGGACCGTACGGGCTTTCTGGTCTCTCCCCCCCATTTACAAAGGAGGAAAACTGAGGTTCAGAGAAGTTGTGACTTGCAAGGGTCAGCCAGCTAAGTGACAGAGGACACTCTGGGGTTTGTTTTTTTTTGTTGTTGTTGTTGTTGTTTGGGCAGTGGGGGTTAAGTGACTTGCCCAGGGTCACACAGCTAGTAAGTGTTGCGTGTCTGAGGCTAAATTTGAACTCAGGTCCTTCTGAATCCAGGGCTGTTGCTCTATCCACTGTGCCACCTAGCTACCCCCAACATGACAGAGGGCACTCTGAATCCAGGTCTTCCTGACTCCAAGTATAACATTGTCCATGACCCACGATCCCAAGATCCCCCTCAGTGGTGGGAAGAACTCTCTCCTAGGAGTCACTGGTAGATAATAGTGACCTGGCTTCTGGCCCCAGAGCTTCCATTTCCTTATTGTCTGACCTTGACCAGTTTACTTACCTTCTGTGACCCTGTGTTCTCATCTGTCAAGAGGGGATGATGTCTTTCTTGCCCATATCATCACTGTCTTGGGTGGCTCCGTACAATTATAATTAGAGGCACTTTTTAAATTGTAAAGGGATTATTGGTATTGCATGGGGGTTGCATAGGGTATATGGATGCAGGTCCAGCAGATACTGCCCTTAGATTCAGAGCTGTCTCCTGATAGCACCTTCTTTCACTTAACCTCCTCTTCACAACATGATCTGGTTCTCTCCTACCTTTCAGGTTGTACAAGAAAATGAAAATGTCGTCTTCTGCCTGGAGTGTGCACTACGCCACGTGGAGAAGCAGAAATCCTGTCGGGGACTGAAACTGATGTACCGCTATGACGAGGTCGGTAGTCGGCAGCTTGTGTTCTGCGGGCTTCTGTTGCCCCCTTAGAAGGAGGGCTGCAGGTGTGGGAATCTGCTCCATCTGGGGGCCCCTTTGCATATCTGCGTGATGCTTGTGGATGGGGTGGAAATGAGACCCATGCCCAGGAGGAACAGTCGGCAGCCTACTGTTGCGTCACTGGGGAGCAGTGGTATATCACTAGAGAGATCACAATGCAGGCTAATTGAAAACTGACTTCAACATACTCTCCTATTAACTTCATAGGAAGACTTTCTCTTTTTAAGTGTTGAGCCTCGATGTGGCCCTAGTTTTGGGCTGTGATAATAATGACTCATGGTAATTCCAAGCATTTCCTATCCAGGTGGGTTCTAGGATGATCTTTAGGAGTTTGGGAGGGAATGTGCAGTAGGGTGTTGTGTGGCCATTGAAGTGTGGGATTGTTCACCAGAATCCCCAAGTTGAAATCTCAGTTCTGCCCCTCACTACCTGAGACCTTGGTCTTGGTACGTCCCTTCCCTGGGCTCAGTCTCTTCATCTGGAAATTGATGGGGTTGGGCTAGATGACCTCCCGTTCTAAATCTGTGGTCTTCTGATGGCTGTGACCCTTTTGGGCCTCAGCTCAATTTTAAAGTGACTGATTTGGACTCGGTGACCTGTCCAGTTCTAAGGCTGTGTGTATTTCTGGGCCCTCTAGTCCTACCTTTCTCTGCGGCTGATATGGCCTCTCCGCTGGCCCTGGCAGAGATGGTCTGTGGTACAAAAAACAAGAATGTAGGGCTGATGCTCAGGAGTTTGGGTTCTGGTCCTGACTGCCCATTACTAGCTGGGCAGGTCTCTCCACTTCATTGGCAAAGGGTGACAGAGTTATGTACTGGGTGACCTCGAAGCTCTGAAGAGACAGGTGATTCAGCCTTTGCTTGAATTCTTCTGCTGATGGGGTACTCACTGTCTCACAGGGTTCACCCTTTCTATTTTTTGCATAGCTCTAATTATTAGAAAATTCTTCCTTATATTCGACATAAGTCTTTCCCTGTCATTAATAATTATTCTTTCAAGCCACCGACCAAGCCTGCTCCTCTTTTGTATGGCGGCCCTTTATTTAAAGACTCCTGTCATGTCCCATCTAATGATCCTTCCCAGTCAGACTAAACTGTTGTCTGTGTGACTGGCTTTGGATTTCCTTTAGCACAGTTCAGATTGCTTATTCTGCACACACTCCACATGGAGAAGCTTGAAACAACTCTGGGATTCCTGGCTAACTTTCCACCTTTGCAGTTTTGCTTTGTCAGTGGTCACTGTGTCCTCCAAAGCTGCAGAGGCACTGCCGCCAGCTCAGCAGCCAGCTGAACTCAGCCTTTCCTTGTGGACACTTCATGTAAGACCCATGGTGCCCAGAGAGAGTGCTCAGCCTTCCCGGGTGCATCCAGCGGCTTTCAGGTGGTCAAGCTGCCATGCAAGTTCTTGTTCTTGGGAGATGATCGGAGATCTGTCTTGGGGGGGGAGATGTTTGGATCCCTGCACTGGGGCAGACACACACATGTGGGAAGCACACCGTGGAACGGGTGAGCTCACAACAGGCTGACTGTGGACAGCGTTGCCAGCGAGTACAAGTGACTTGGAAGAGGGGAGGGTGGGGGATGAGGCAATGGGAGTGAAAAGAGTTTTCTGTTTTCTCTGGCTGAGAAACAAATGTCCCTGTATATTTGATAATTCAGCCACCAAAGTGGGGTTTTCAGCGCTAGAGCCTAGCTATCGCGGTGCTTCCTGTCCAGAAATTCTTTGCATTTAAGACAAATATAAACACCATATGTGAAACCATGGTGGTTGCAATATTTGGAATATTTCCCCCACCCTCAAAACACTCCCCCCCCCTTCTCCCTTTTAGTTCAGGTTTTGGTTAGAATTCAGGAATGAGCTTTGAAGTACAGCCCTTGTACTGAATTCCATTCCCTTTTCTCTTAATTAGTGGAAAAATACAGGAGCCCTCTTATGGCCCAAACTACCTCCTGGGCTTTTGGTGAGGCCTCTCGGGGGCTGTAGATGTATTTTTTTTTTAAATGTTTTCAGTGGGAAGTAAGAGTTTCATTTAAACATTCTTAATAGAAACATAGGTGAGAAGTACAGCCCTTTTTCTCTCGTCTCCAACCCACTATATAATTCTTTTCCTTTTCTACAAGTGGAATAAAAAAAGAGCCTGTCCTTGTAGTATTCTGTACAAAAGGCCAAGTCAGGCACTGAGACATCTGGTTGTGAGTTGAGAGGAGGGTAGCAGTGGATGATTTTTGTTGCCCTGATTTTCACACACTTCTGGAAATTGCTCTCAAGGCCACTATGCTTGTCTGTCTAAGAAACTAACATTTTGAGGGGAGGGAGCCAGGCAAAACCATGGCAAGAAGGACCCTGGGTCCATGTGTAATGGCCTTTTTGACCATGCTAAGACTTGTCTCAACTAACCACACTGATGATGCCACCTGGCCATTCCTCCAGTACCTGCATTTTCCAGGTTTGCCACCTTTATGCCCCCTCTGCTTTTGCAGAGTCATTCCCTTTGGCTCCATGTGAGCAGCATCAAGGAGTTCTTCCTGGAGGAAGAGGTTGAAGAGACTGGAGATTTTAGTGCTCTGTGCTATCTCTGTGAGCAGCGTATCCCCCATTGACCTTGAGTTGTTGAGACTGTTTGCCTTACATACCCTCCCTTGTGTGTTTGTGGCCGCAGTGCTCAGCCTTTGGGACCCTGAACCCTCTTAAGAACCTTTTCCTCACTTGGAGAAGGAGGCCCACTCTTGGATGATTCCCATTGCTATTGCCAGTGGAGAAACTACTGGCAGGTTCAGCCTCTTTCCATTCTAAATCTCTAGAATAACTCAGTCAGTATTCTTGGCAGCCGTGGGTTTAATTTACGAGGGATTTGGTTGCATTTTCTACGTGGGTGGGTTCTGACGCTGCAAATGTCTTGTCAAACTGGCTGAGCATCTATTTGAGAAGAGCACGAAGCTTTGCCAGTCCTCATTGCAGGAGGGTGGGCCAGGGCCAGGACGTGGCAAAAATAGTAGGAGGCTTGTTCTGAGACCCACAGGATGGGCAGAAGTAGAAGGTGATAGATTTAGAGGCTGAAACGAGAAGAGGTTAGGTCCCTTTCTCTCTACTCCTTTCTTACCACCTACCAGGCTATGGATTCAGCTCCACCTGCAAGCAGGAAGCTAAGTAAATAGATGTTGTTGCTGCCAGAATGAAGAATAGTTATTAGAGGCACAGCTCCCATCTTCCATAGGCACACATTTTTAAGTGGCATTCCTACCCTTGAAGCTTTATAAATAGCAGAGAGGGTATTGGGTTTGAAATCCGATCACTTGGCTTCCACTTCTGCCCTTGCTACATGCTACCTGTGTGGGACAAGGATGGGGACCAGACCTATGATTTCATCAGTATAGAGATCTCCTAGAAGAGAATACTCCCTCTCCCAACCCAAGGCAGTTGGGCACCTCTGCAGGTCAGTCTGGAGAGTTACCCAAGGCAGCAAGGTTGTCCTGGTCCCACTGAGTGGGTGAGAGGCAGGGCTTGACCAGGCGTTTGGGCTTTGAGACTGTCTCTCTGGGCACCCTGTGGAGCTGTCCGAGTTACTCTCTAAGCAAGTCGCTTAACTTCTCAGGGCCTCCATGTCCTCATCCCTGAAACCAGAGCTGGAGGATATGGTCTCTGGGGTCACTCCCAGTTCTAAATCTGGTATCTTGCGTGTATTATTTTGATTTTAGGGCCCTGAGTATTTTGCAAAAGAAAGGGCCGTGAACTATGCTTATACTGCTCATGGAGCTAGTGAGTCAAATGATCTAGAAATAAATTTCACACTTCTCTTCACACCCTCGTGTCATCAGTCGTCTTTGACTGGATTGTAAGTAAGGGTTCAGATGTGAACTGCCAGCCCTTCTGTACCATGCAGTGCCCAAGCCAGCTGTTAAAATTTGATTAGCCAAACCACTCTATTCTGTTATGAAGCAGCTATAGTTCGTACTTTATTGTTAATAAATTTTTGTTTTCCTCTAGACTCCCATGGAGAAGAATGCAGTACTTTGTAAATAGCCTCTCAGATCTTAAAAAATACCTGACTTCATTCTAAATCAAGGTGTACTTGTTAGGTAGATGTGGTAGAAGATTGGGAACCATGTAGCCCGATAATGAAAAATAGGCAATGCTCTCAGATAAGTGGGTTCATTGTCTTATTTTTTATTACAAACATCTGGCATACCTACTTGCTGCTGTTCATCATTCAGCAGAAGAATATTCTGGTCATTGAGGACTCTGTGGCAACACTGGTATTTTTGAAAAGCTCAGCAATGTGCTGATTAGTAAATTCTTACTAACGGGAAGTTATTCCTAACAATGATATCTAGACACTAGAAATTAGATTTCTCCCCAAAGGGGTCTCTCATCTCTAAACTGAAGTATTGACGTAACCTTGTGTGTCCTGGACAGGCCAAGCGCGATAGAATAGACCTCTTCCTTTGACCCCAGTGCTCAATAGTGTGTCAGTGCTTGGCTGTCTTATCTGTTGTACCCAGCAGATATTGAAACGCACACTTCATCAAGTCAGAGACTTCACCGTTGGAGAAATGTTTCCCTCTGATATGCCCTGGTTAGTGACATGGCTCAAGTGTGCCATGGTGCCCCAGTTGGGAAAATGATCATTGAAGAGATCTTCCTCCTCACCTTCTCTCCCTTCCCCCTGAACATATCCATGTCCTGTTTGTCTAGACTTGTCAGACACTGAAATGGGCAGTGCAGATTGGGTGAGTGAAGACCACTGTGTTACTTTTTTAATTTTATTTATAAACATATATATATAGCTTTTTAGTGAGGCAATTGCAGTTAAGTGACTTGTCCAGGGTCACACAACTAGTAAGTATCAAGTGTCTGAGGCTGGATTTGAACTCAGGTCCTTCTGACTCCAAGGCCAGGGCTCTGTCCACTGTGCCACCTAGCTGCCCCCACTGTGTTACTTTAGACAAGTCCGAGCCTCATCTGCAAAGTGAAGGGTCACACTTAGGAGTGCTCCCACAGGATGATCTGGGAGGCTTAGGGGATGTACAAGGTCAAAACGGTTTTCATAAGAAGACATTTTAATTGCTAGTATACTAAATATTGGTAGATAGAGACCACGTGAACAGAAGTTGGGTTGGGGGAGGCAGGGAGGAGTCCTTCATTTTTAAGAATAAAAAGTTTGAGAACTCCCAGACTGGATCTGTATACCTTGGCCATCATCCCTGGCTTCCAAGGTGAGAGCAGATGATGTTTAGGAAAATGGAACTCTCTGATCTGACCTCTTACCTAGTTACTACTCTTTCCCCTTCTTCTGCCAAACCTGAAATATCCATCCGTCTATCCATCTGTCTATTGTCTCTGCACTCAAGAATCCTAATGGGAGAATGTAAATAACTAGGTATACACAAAGGGGCAGCTAGGTGGCACAGTGGATAGAATGCTGGGCCTAGAGTTAGGCCTGAGTTCAAATCCAGCCTCAGACACCAGCTCTATGACCCTGGACATGACACTTAACCCTACTTGCCTCAGTTTCCTCATCTGTAAAATGAGCTGGAAAAGCAAATGGCAAACCACTCCAGTATCTTTGCCCAAGAAAATCCTAAATAGGGTCAACAAGGGTTGAATGTGGCGCAGTGGATAGAATTCTGGCCTTGGAGTCAGGAGGACCTGAGTTCAAATCCAGTCTTAGATACTTGACACTTATTAGCTGTGTGACCCTGGGCAAGTCACTTAACCCTGATTGCCTCAACCCCCCCCCCCAAAAGAGTTGAAGGTACTGAAATGAATGAACAATATACACACAAAAAACTGTGACAACAATAATAATGATATATTAATTAGCAAATTTATAAAATACTTTTTAAGTTTTGCAGAAGAGCTTTGCATAGGTACTCTTATCCCCATTTTACATATGAGGATACTGAGGCCAAGGGATGTTCCACATATGGCCCAGTGTCACAGCTAGGATGTGTCCGAGGCAGGGCGTCAACCTAGGTCTTCCTGATTCTCAGGCTAGTGCTTTAGCCATCATGCCCCCAACTGCCTTTGTGGAGTGACTGAGGGGGTGGGAGGGGGACATCCTGCAGAGCGGAGGGATTTGGGCTGACGCAGGAAGGGGGCCAGGGAAGCTCAGAGCATTCCAGGTGCAGGGGAGACAGAAGAAACACAGTGTCATGTTTATTTGAGGAATAGCAGGTAGGCCTGTGATAGTGGATTGTAGGGTCTGAATGTAAGAACACTGGAAATTCAGGAAGAGCCCTAATGACATCCTGAGTTCTTTTGAAGTCGGAAGAGTCCCAGTAGGAGATATCTTGTTCTCCTTCACTTCTGCCTCTTGTACCTGCTACTCGGAAATGGTTGAGAAGTCAGTCAGTAACCATTTATTCAGTGCTTACTGTGTGCCAGGCTCTGTGCTAAGTGCTTGGGATATAAATACCAAATTAAAAAAAAAAAAGAAAAAAGAAAAAGTCTCTGCACTCAAGGAGCTACAATCCAATGGGAGAACTCAGTACACAGGAGGGGGCAGAGGATGAAGGGGCAGGCAGGGTACCTGAGCCTGGGGCATGGGGCAAAAGTCAGAGAAATCTCAGAGTAGTGCAGCCAGGTGAGAGAAGAGATTTCCTGAGCTGAGGTCTGTCTTTAAATGGAGGATTTGGAGTTTTATGGCTCCAGTCTCAGGGACAGAGGCTGGTGATGAGGTGGACAAAGGACTGAGGCTGATGGGATCTTGCAGGATGCTGTGGTTCTGCCAATAATGAGCTTCCTTGGGTCATTTTGTGGACGTGACACTTAGGGAAAGGGGTTTTTGTGTCCCTTAAACAGCACCTCAGCCACAGTGTATTTTTACTGAGGTCAGTTAAGAACAAAACCCTTCCAGGCTCAATTCAGAAACCATTGATTGGTTTTCTTCTCTCATCAGAGGCAAACTGTTTATCATTTATGGCAAAAGATCTGAAGGTAAGCTACAAGAGTACTTGGCAAAGGCTGTGGGTTGAATGTCCAAATAGGATGGGTCAGAATTGCTCAGCTTGTGGCTAAATTATAAGATTGGAAAGCCTGAAATAGCCTTATTTGAATCTCTTTTGTTTTTTTAAAAGCATGCTCAGTGAAGGCAATAACCACTTTGTCTCCTTTCTTTCTTTACTTAAAGAACAAATGCCAGAATGTGGTTAAAAATAAAACTTAAGGATATTCATCCAAGCCACTGTCCCACTATTTCTTGATTCACCCTGAGAGAGATGGATGTCTTCCTGGGATCACACTGAAGCGAGCTCTGGGAAGCGTAAACCCAGATTTTTACCACCCTCTTGGCACTGATTAAATTTTTATAAGCCTATAAGGTAACAAAACCCCAGAAAGATTGAATAAACTCCATAAACAGGAGTCTGGCATGTCAGGCATCTGTGTTTTATTCCTAAAAAAGTGAGGGAAAGGAATGGATGTCGTTTGATTTAATGAGAATTAAAGTGCCCTTGGACTATTGAGAAGTAAAGAATGATGGCTGATGACTCCCATGTTCCATAATCGGAACAGGCAGTTTGGTCCTAGCTCCTTCTCCCTCTTGTCTGTGGATAAGATAAGCGGTTACGGTCAGTCTCTGAGAGGTTAAGACCTCTGTTCCGTGACTCGGTAACTGCCAAAGACAAGTTGCTGTCATGGTCCAGCCACCACGATTGCAGTTCCTTAGAGAGTCCTGTCACTCATGAGGGGCTTCATCAGACTGAGATTAGGCATTTCATTAGGACAGGAAGAACACCACTGAACTGCAGTCTTCTAGGGTTAGGGAGTGGGAGAGGAGAGATCGTGACAGTGATTGGTCTCATCCACATTAGCCTCCATACTCAACTGGCTTTGTTATGTAAGATTAGATTTCTTGTAAAAGATTAATATATGTTTCTCCTTTATGAAGTCCATCTTTTGCTCCCAGATTCTAGTTCAGGGCCTTAATCATTGTAAGGCAGTAGGTGTAATCATTATTTCACATCCTGGTCCGTTTGTCACGTCCATCTCTGACTCTCCATGACCCCATTTGGGGTTTTCTTGGCAAAGATACTAGAGTGGTTTGCCATTTCCTTTTCCAGCTCATTTTACAGATGAGGAAAACTGAGGCAAACAGTGTTAAATGACATGCCCTGAGTCACACAGCTAGTAAGTGTCTGAGGTCGCATTTGAACTCAGTTCCTCCTGACTCCAAGGCCAGTGCTCTATCCATTGTGCCCCCTAACTGTCCTAGTTGTTAGGTTGTTATTCCTTCTCTCCCTTCTTTCCCTTTCCTTCTTGAGCAGTGAGCACACTATTAGCCCCTGAGGGGAATGACAAGATAAACAAGAACTGATCCCCATCCTTGGGGAGCTGATAGTCTGCTAAATATCAACTTACGGCTCTATTGATAGAGGCAGATGACTTACTCCCAAAGGGGCTTATAGATTTATTCTACAGTATACTTCTAGCTGTGCGTATGGGTTCTTGTAAAAATGTTCAGTTGACACGTACCTGTGGTTATGCCCATTTTCTGTACAGAATGTTCATAATTTGTTTTCCAGAATGAGAGCTCCCTTTTACAGTCTGCCCCATTCAGTGAACATACGAAGTGCTTGCTTGGCATGCAGACACAACAGTAAAACCAGCATGTCTACAAATAAGTAAATGTAAGGTAATCTGAGGAGGGAGGAAGCACTTTTAATAACTGGGAGAATTAGGAAAGGCTCCAGGTAGGAGGGAACACGAGAGCTGAGCTTGAAAGGAAGGAAGGGGTTCCTTCTTCTAAGAGCTTGCAGGGAAGGGGGAGTGGGGCAGTGGCGGGGTACACTGTAGCAGAGGACACATTTGTGGAAAGAGTGAGAGGGACGAGGTGGAACAAATTAGAGACAAGCTGTCCATTTGGCTGAGGGCTGGAGGTGGGAGGTACTGGTAAGAGTGGAGAGACGTGTGAGCTCAAGGACAAGTTGTGGAGTTAAAATTGATAAGACCTAGAAACTGACGAGAATTTTGGGGAAAGGGTGGATTTCCTGTGGGGGTAGGTGAAGACAATGAGTTCTCTTATGGATTTGTTTCACTTGAGATATGTATAGGTCATCTGCTTGGAAAGGTCCAATGGGTAGTTGGCTATTTAAGTAGAATTCAGAAGAGAAACTAGGGTTGGATATATGTATACATTGGGGAATCATTTGCATAGAGATAATTTATGGGGGTAAGAGCTCTCCCAAAGATCATATTTTTAAAAAAAAATGAAAATGAGTGTCCTGGACAAAGACTTGTAGAATAATTGTTTCATGATTAGAGAGCTGGAAAAGAATAATGACCCAGAAAATGGATTAAAAGGTCAGATGGATAGGAAGAGGACTAGAAGGTAAATAGTATCAAGAAAGTCAAGGTAAGGAAGAATAGATAGTGTCCAGTGTTGTGAAAAGCCTAAAAGAGCTTAAGCTAGGATAAAGGCAGCAAAGAGGCCTTTGGATGATCAGATAAGTGGTCACTGGTGATCTTGGATGGAATGGTTTCAATCAGCTAGTGGAATTGGAAGCCAGATTGTGAGGGAGTCAGGACGTTAGAAGTGGAGTATAGATGTAGATGACTTTTTCTATGGATTTGGCTGTGAAAGGAGGGAAAATAAAAGATACAGGATGATAACTTGATAGGATCAAGGGAAGGTGTTTAAGGATAGAGCAGACTGGGCATGTTTTAGGCAGGGGGGAAGGAATGTATTTGTAGTGGACTTTGTCAGTATGGTCATCTGACTAACTCCAGTGACATTCAGCGTGCGCGCGCAC